GTCAAGTCTCAAACGAGGAACGAGGGGTCGTATTTGTTGACGCGGCTTCCTACGCCAATGGGAAAGCGTTTGTGGCAGTGGTAGTCGATGGGGCTGGCCATGTCGTCAACTCAGCGACGATCAGGACGAAAGACCCAATCATTGCGGAACAAGTGGCCATCGCCTTAGCACTCAAGATGGATAACATTGAAGTGGTCTACAGTGATTCCATGGCAGCACTACGGGCGTTCGCCAAGGGGACGGTCTGTGAACAAACGCTAAAAATACTGCAAGGCAAGAACATAACACATCATCTTCTGAGTTGGTTCCCAGCTCACCTTGGACAAATCAACGATTCCCCTCCCAATCTCAACGAAGCAGCACACGAGGCGGCGCGAGAACTCTCCAACCGCGCCTCCCCGGGGATGCGTTCTAGCGGTGAAGGGGATAACCGGGAAATTCTTACAACATATAACGAGCTCACTAAACATTTCTACCTGTCTAGAAGGATTTTTCCTCCACCTCACAAAAATCTAACCCGGCCCCAAGCACTTACATTAAGGCTTTTGCAAACGCGGATGTACCCTACTTTGAAAATGTTACACATCATGTACCCTGACCTATATCCAAGTAATCTTTGTCTACATTGTGGGGAAATAGCTTCATTAGAACACATGCTCTGGCAGTGCACCAAATTCGCTCATTTATCGCACATCACCTCTGCCAGATGGGAGGCGGCAATCCGCAGCTCATCCTTGGCAGATCAGCTCTGGGCTGTCCACCAAGCCCGCGAGGCGGCTGAGGAGCTTGGCATCTCAGTCCCCACGTGGGAGCTGCCCGCAACACAGTGATCTGTGTTTTGGAGGACCAAATAAAAGTTTATCCAATCCAATGGCCAACCAGCCGTCCTGCCATTGTCCTATACCTGTGTCAAACAGACCGGTGTACCGCTGACCCCCCGCTTAAAATCAATCGGGTTCAAATTGCTCAACCCCGAGTGGCTGTTGCCTTCTGCAGCTGGCGTAAACGAGCCAGTCACAATCAAGAAATGACCGCGTTACAAGGGTTTCAGTGGAGCTGACGATTCATCCTTACTACCTATTCCAAACGCAGCCGTCTTAAAAGACAATGTTGCATCTACCAGCAATACAGGTGACGCTTGACCCGAACTCCCAAAGATACATGCGCCTGAAGAGGCATCTCACTTCGACAGTGGAGGTCACTTCATCGGTACCTCATAACTTGACGGACGATGGACAAATTATTGGCATGGACAGCACCCTGGTCAGTGCTATGCACGTACTGCTGAGCAAGATGTAGACACCGATAGCTCGAAGCGTGTTGCAACTTCTTGACACCATCTCTCCAGTTCTAGCAAGCCTTCTGGGGTCTGCTGCTTGAGAACGCAAGCGGCACCATCAAGGCTTCACCATCGGCAAGATTTTGGGTGCATGGAACCACGCATACAAGTTAATGCAACGAATGCGCTCAATTGATTGAGACACGAGTGTGCCTCACCGTCTTGTGATGTTAAAGGAACCCTGAAACGGTTTCGACAATTTTTCACAAACACATTGAGCCGGTACACCAAGTCCCATGGGTAAGTTAAAGACCGATTTGAGCTCTCTGCGTAAACTGTGTAATTTATTACAACGCTTTAAAGCTGCGAATCGCTCCAGATCGCTGCAGATCACTGCGACTCGGCCAAACGCGTTTTCAGCCACCCATACACCAAGCTGGCAAGTTGGCAGTTTGCACTAGAGGATCATGTGTGTTGTACAGGAACTCCCCAAAAAGGTGAAACCAATGAGGCTTGTGCGGGGTTGATTACAAAATAATGATTTTTGTCACGCAGTGGGCTTGCGACTGTACTCTAGTAAGTACCATTTGATAGACGCTTCCGTGTGAACTTCCTCCTCGTATCGCCCGCAACTTGTCTCCTTTAACCTCCGACCTCCCCTCCTTTGACAACATACCTCCTCGACTACCAACCTCTTCTCGTACCTTAGATAACTTACCTTTCTGATCCCCAAACCTCCCCGACCACGCACCTTTCCCAACTTGCTGTACCTTCCCGCCCTCTGACCTTTCACAACGATATTGACCGGTTTCCTTCTTGCTGTACCTTTCACCTTCGTATATCAGACGTAGACTCCAGTTTTTGCAGCTTGATTTTGTAGACCTCTGGGATGTTTATTTATTTTTTGCCTAACCAGCCGTCCCTAAACTAAACGTCAAAGTTTTCCATTCCTGTATCACACAGACCGGTGCACCACTGATCCCGCTCAAACCCAATCGGGATCACATTTCTTAACAGCCAGGAGCTGTATCTTCTGACACTCGCGTAAACGAGCCAATCACGTTTTAAGAAATGCCCGCGTGACAAGTAGTTTTCCTCAAGGCTGTAGTTAAGCTCCCAAGCTAGCTTCTCCAGAATCGAATCGCACTTAAGGCCCCTTATTGGCCAGCTGTATCCAACTAGGGTCGCCCACCGGCAGCGAGATTCGAGCTCGCGGCCTCCCATGAACGCGGCCGGTACACCGCCAACCACGCTAATGGTGTGTATTTGTTCGTTTGTGACATTATATGTATGATGCTATAACGCTGTGCGTATACTGTGTGTGTTAGACGATCAAACGTTTGCAGGAAACCGTAAGCAATGCAGATACAATGCAAAAGAGGAACTTTTTTCACTGACGCAATGAGCCCTATAATGGCGAAAGGCCTACAGACGCTGAAAGCAGGCGGTAACAACCGACAAAACTAGTCAAGCTGTTTTAAAACACAACTTTCTTTTCAGTCTTTTCTTTCTGTACAACAGAACGGAAAATAAACTTTGATTCGATTTGAAAGAATCACAGGAGATGGGCGTTACAGAGAGGTACCGATATTAATAAAAACTAACTGCCTAATAAACAAATAATGAAAACCCACGTAACTTGGGAATCAACGATATGCGAAGCATGCGAGGGGAACGTGACTGTGATTAAATGACGCTCAAGATATTAGGGAGTTTTAGAATAGCGCACCACGAGCCCTTGCGGTGCGGTCGCTTCCACTACGCATGCGTCGTAACGCAAGTCGGCGATCGCGGACCGCACGCAAAAAAATCCGAAATTGCGTGCGGTGATGGCGGCCCGCATGTGGCCCGCAAGCGCTGGTTTCGAGGCTATACGGGCGGTGATGGCGGTCCGAATGTGGCCCGCAAGCGCTGGTTTCGAGGCTACGGTGTCGCTGCGATCGTGCGTTGCGGATCGCAGTAGGGAAACGCTATTCTAAAACTCATATGGCGCCCACAACGCCCGCAGCACTTGCAAACGGTATTCTAAAACTCCCTATTGTCACGCGCGTTGTCTTTATGACTCCAGCGCGCGGTATCCAGCGTGGGACCTCTGCTTCGTGAATGCGAGGCGTTAACTGCTGAGCCACCGCGAAGTACATCATCCAACGGTCAAACGGCAAGCTATTTATATCTACCACTTACCGCGGTTGGCGGGCATCTCATGGGGGAACTATGATGTTTTCAGCATTATCAGCATGATGGCGCAGTGAGCGTGCGGCGGCTCTCATCTCTCACGCGTACTTTGGTCCGCGTAGAGAATAAGGGGCTGCACGCTCGGTCGCGCGCCCTTATTTTGCAGTGGGGAGGATCGTACGTCTTGGCTAGCCTTTGGGTTTCGCCGGAACGATTCTGTTGTAGTTACTGCGAGCACAAAAGCTACTGAAATTGTTGCACAGCGTCCGTTTGCGAAAAGAGCGCGCTTTTCAGACACAGCTAAGTAACAGCTGATACGCTTATTCGCGTTCATCTGCACATGTGAGTACGTTTCGTGCGTCATTTGTGCGTGAGAAATGCGGGGCACGTTTCAATCCGCTTGCCATTCTGCGCTCGGCTGCTGACCCACAAGTCGCGGGATCGAATCCCGGCTGCATTTTCGATGGAGGCGAAAATGCTGTAGGCCCGTGTGCTCAGATTTGGGTGCACATTAAAGAACCCCAGGTGGTCGAAATTTCCGGAGCCCTCCACTACGGCGTCTCCCATAATCATATGATGGTTTTGGGACGTTAAAACCCACATATCTATCAATCGATTCACTGAATGAGCTCATTTCCTCGCGAATTCACCGCCGCAAAAGCTTTTCGTATCCATCCTGTACGAATGGAGTTGAAGATTTCTCGCACACTGATATTACATTCCTTCTCTCATCCCGACGGAATCGCTGGAAGATGCGCAATGAAGGGATGGCACGGCAAAAAAAAAAAAAAAATGTCACGCCGCCTCGCGATCATGAGAACTTCTTTCTCACTCTCTCTCTCTCTCTTTCTCTAATACGTGACCTTTCACTTAGATCTCGCGTGCACGCGTAGTGAAGTCGCTGCCTCCCGCGGCAACCACAGTAACCACCGAGCGCGCCATGCGCAAATCGGACAATGGCTGATACTACGGCACTGACGAGTTATTTTAGAGCCTGTAGCGTCATTCGTTGAGAGAGGAGAAAGCAATATGTAGCAGATTTTAAGAATTTATTGGGTATTTCAGGCCGCGTGCTGCTATATTTAGCCCGCACGCTCTTGGCAGCCTCGACTACAGCAGACTTTTCAGGCCATGCTTGTCCGTTGGCGGCGTTGGTGTGCGCCATAGCCGTGATGAGGATGACGCTGATGATCACGGACAAGAGAAAGAGGTTTATTCACAGAACGGCAGAACGACTGGCTTGTGCAGTACATGACGTCTCGATATGATCTACGATGAATTTCGTACGACTGGAAACAACCGACAACCACCAGGGGAACGCATACAGACCTCGTCTTTGCCGACTTCAGGTTAGATCCGATACCGCAAAGCATAATAATGAAGTTGACAGTTGATATGCCGCGTGGATATGCCCTGTTTTTCTTAGATTAATCTCCCTGTCATTCATTGTCTTTCTTTCTTTCTGCACTAATGAACGTTGCAATCGGCATCACCATCGTTGCGGGCACGATTCAATTACTATCATCATCATTCCAACCACGACGCAGCTCTCTGCAGCACCATCGGCCCGGCTTTCTTGCGCCCACGTCATTGCGACGGAACCGCCGGCCAGCCCTGTCCGCGGCCGTATCACGCGTCGAGACATGCGGCCAGCGCGAGGCAAGAGCCACTAAGCCTACACAACCATCGGCACCGGCCGCATGCCTAACGTTATCGCGACCACGTTATAGAAACAAAGGCCCGGCATGTCCGAGAGCGCGACATGGCGAATCCGGGCGGTACTCCTGCTGCTACTGCTGGCACTCGCGTTGCCCGACCCGTGCTCCACGCGGTCGGTGAACCCTCGCAGTCGTCGCGAGGTCGTCAAACGCGCCAAGCCGCCAGGGGGACACGACGACGACGGCGGAAGGCCAATCACGGGGCTCCAGGCTGTTACCGTCCAAAGCGACGACACTGGAGTCCGAGCGAACGGCACCGCGGCTAGACCTAACAGGCGGCGACGGCCGCGGCTCCTGGACATCGGCAGCCTCTTTCGGTATGTAATGTCGCCGTACGGCAACGCCACCGATCGGCGCGCCAGCAACAAATCCGAAGAGCCGGTGAGAAGCCGGCACATCGACGCGTCCATGGCCGAGGTGGTGGCAGTGCAGACGTTCGACGGTGACGTCGTGTGGATCGAGGCCAAGTTCGTGAACCAGTCGCACGGCAACAGTCACGCGCGCCATCGGCGGACAAGGCCCTACAGCGTCGAAGAGAGGCTTACGCTGGTCATACCCGTGGTCGCCTTTCTGATGCCGTTTCTCGTTTGGCTCAGCTGCATGGTCATCTGCATCGTGAAGGCCACGGTCAAAGAGCCGTATTGACTCGATGACACACATCCCGAAAGCTGTGGATGACGTGCTCTGCAGGGAAACGTCGTGTACAGTTCGTGCGATTCCGAGACTGTCGGGCGCAGAACATGTCATGTTCGACAGCATTCAAGGAGCTTTCGGCGAATGTAACGTGGCACTGCTGCTGATGACGAGCGTTGTTTGCAGATTGCCAGTATTCCTAGCGGAAAGCACTACTTTGTATACCATCTGTCTTGCGTGTTGTAATACAGTGCACAAAGCGGAGACGCGAGTCCTATGCAGGGGCTCTCCTGAATAAGTTAGTGCTTTTCCCGCACGTGTTCCACAGACGCGATTCTGTATATTCATGAAATTAATGAGTGGAGAAGTTATTGATTAAGCATTAGCCCTGCAGCGACTAGTTCACTTTGTACCTACATTCGAATGGCTCTAAACGAGGTTTATGCATCACGTACGTGGGGCATGCTGGTAGCCTTCAAGGTGATTCAGCACTAGGGAAAAAAGCACGCGAGTGTAAAGTAGTAATGACAGACTTATAAAGACACAAAGATAATGAAAATAATGTGCCATTGATATTCCAGCCATTAATTTCTTAATATGTCGGTTCCATGTTTCTTCTTCAATCGGCGTTCTGTAATATCGATACATTACCGGTAATGAAGAGTACTGCTTGGTAGATTGTACAAAATAAATTGGCGTTGGCAAGTTAACAGCTTCGATTTCATAAATTTCGCAGTGCCGCAGTGAGTTTACAGCCACTATACCAAGGATAAGAGATTCTAAACGAATAATAACTTAATGGAATGCAGAACATGTCCTCGAAGCTTGCATGATAAAATTCAGTCCAGTAATACAGAAACAAAGTGCTGTGAACATCTCGTTGTGATATAACCGTGCGAGGTCCGGAAATATGGACCGGTATTCACAAACAATTCGGCAGATCCCACGCCTTACGGTTTCATGCGAAGCAATCGGCGAGTAGTGCAATGCTGAATTTTTTTACTTTGAGCCAAGCATGCAAAGGATACTGAGCAAAGGATACTATGAAAAATATACCGAGCCAAGGTTGGAAAAGTGAACAACGCTCATATAGTACAATCCAGACGTAGGAGGTCATTAATAAATACCCTCGAGGAGCGGCGTTCACATATGCACACACAACTCTTCTTGGCAGTTCTTCGCACCAGTTGGAAAAAAACGGGAAGATATAAATAGCGCAACGCACCAATTGAACGTTCTGAATTGTCAATATGTCTTCATCATCATCATCAGCCTGACTACGTCCACTGCAGGACAAGGGCCTCTCCCATGTTCCGCCAGTTAACCCGGTCCTGTGTTTGCTGCTGCCAATTTATACCCGCAAACTTCTAATCTCATCTGCCCACCTAACCTTCTGTCTTCCCCTAACCCGCTTGCCTTCTCTGGGAATCTAGTTAGTTACCCTTAACGACCATCGGTTATCCTGTCTACGTGCTACATGCCCGGCCCATGTCCATTTCTTTTTCTGGATTTCAGCTATGATATCCTTAACACTCGTTTGTTCCCTAATCCACTCTGCTCTCTTCTTGACTCTTAAGGTTACACCTACCATTTTTCTTCCCATTGCTCGCTGCGTCGTCCTCAACTTAAGCTGAACCCTCTTTGTAAGTCTCCAGGTTTCTGCTCCGTAGCTAAGCACCAGCAAGATACAGTTGTTATATACCTTTCTCTTGAGGGATAGTGGCAATCTACCTGTCATAATTTGAGAGTGCTTGCCAAGTGTGCTCCACCCCATTCTTATTCTTCGAGTTACTTCAATCTCGTGGTTCGGCTCTGCGGTTATTACCTGCCCTAAGTAGACATAGTCCTTTACAACTTGAAGTGCACTATTACCTATCTCGAAGCGCTGTCTTTTCAGAGGTTGTTGTACATTACTTTCGTTTTCTGCAGATTCATTTTAAGACACACCTTTCTGCTCTCCTTGTCTAACTCCGTAATTATGAGTTGCAATTCGTCCCCTGAGTTACTTAGCAATGCAATGTCATCGGCGAAGCGCAGGTTACTAAGGTACTCTCCATTAACTCTTATCCCTAACTGTTCCCATTCTAGGCTTCTGAAAACCTCCTGTAAGCACGCGGTAAATAGCACGTCTTCACTAAACACCAATGTGCTGCGTATGACTGCAGTCGATCGCATTGATGAAGGCATTGCGATGTCAAATGAATCAATTGACGTGCCACGTTTTAGAACCAACTTAATAAGGTTTACTTTGCTTGAAATAAACACAGCTATAAACATAACAGCATGAACACTTAGAGCTTAAAATTTTCTTGTTCTTGTGTAAGAATCGAAGATGACTGGCTGCAGGTTAATTAAATACTCAAACTTATGCTAATTAGGACTAATTCGCAAATATCGCGAAAAATTTCTTAATCACTTTAGCATGTAATAATTAGTGCTTTAGAATTAATTATATTGGCCAACACTTGAGAATTTACGGATAGTGCATCGAATTCGTGCCAGAAGGGGTTGAAATGCAACACCACTTAATTCTTCACTTTCCAACCTAGTCGGATAGTCGGCTGCCACACTTCGGTCATCTGATCATGGACTGTCTGGCTGTCTAGCCACGACACGATGGCAAGCTCGTTTATTAAAAAAATTAAATTCAGCAGCGTGTTGCGTAATATTCAGCACTTTAAGTAGAAGGCCTACTGCACTGTTCAGTTGTGTAATCGAGAACCACATTTCTTGCAAGACAAACGATACATGCCTTAATTATACCTGACGTTCTCAGCCAGTTGTATCGTCTGACAGCTTCTGGCACAGTCAAATTCTTGGTGTAACCAGAATTTTTTTTATAGAGAGAGATGGGGGAAGCATTCAAAAACGCTACGTATATGTTCGTGCGTGGGTTAGTATGAAAAATCGAAACATTTCGTTGAGAGGGGTTGAACACTTCCAAGAACCCCCATGGCTACACTAGTAATTCTTGCAGAGTAGGGTCTGCAGGACTCTCATCACTTGCAGTGTTTCGCTTAAGCTACGTCACTGCTTAAAGTTCTCGCTTATAAAGAATGGGCACGGTTTTGTCATAAGGGTGATGCAATGAATGTGATCGCAACAAATTGGATTGTTAGACAAAGTAATAGCGAGCACCTAAATCTTGCCACGTAAAGAAATGCATTTGTCACAACAAGCAAAGATGTCTTCGTGCAGTCTGTCACTTCGATGCCAACAGCACGTTGTTACGAGCGTGCTAAGGCCCGCCGGCTGAAAGGCTCCCAAAGGCAGCACCCGGAGCCAGACTACCTGGAAGGTGCCGCACGACTGGCCTGCAGCAGGGTGTGGAATGCATTTCGCATTGTGCAGTGCTCTCGTGCAGAGACACTGGGTGCGTCCTTCGTAGACACCAGAGGAGTCTGTCAGAGACGCTGCGTGCGTCAAACAGCAGGGCTGTCCCCTCCTCCTCGAGCGTCTTGGCGCCCGTAAAAGGCCGGCGCATCTAGCGTCGGAGGCTTCCTCGTCCATGTTCTGTATGTATGTACATACATTGTAAATATAAACAATTTGTTTCCCTTCGGCTGCCTTTTTCCTTGCCACTGCCTGGATGCTCCCCGCCCGGCGTTGCCCCTCGCGACACGCTTCCCAAGAGACGGGCGGGGCCTCTCTCTCTCATAAGAACACACAAAAGTTTAGGCCGTCTGCTGATCCTTGTCAAAATAAAGAGCGCACGACCGCCCGATTGAAGTATGCAGTTCCTGCAGCTAGGTCCACATATGCCACCGACCCCCACTTTGGGACCCATTGGGCTTTCGCGCTGCAGAGCACGGGCGGTGCGTTTTTTCTCAGCTATAGCAGCAGACGTCAGATGCGCTTTAAGCGTGGTCACATTTTCGATGTGGCTCAAATGCTAGAGGCCGCTTTAATAGTGTCCGATGTCAGCACATGCTAAAAAACGCGACATTGCCGAAATTTTTGAAGCCCTCCGCTACGACTTCTCATGTTATATCATGGTTTTGGCAAAAGGCGGTTGTCATGAAATGTTGCCCGCACGGACATAACCCAGGAGGGGAAGTCTATATGTCTCGACTTCGGCGCCACCCCTAACTTTTATTTATTTATTTTAAAAACTTAGTATGGGTGTTTACACTCCACATTCAGCTTCAAAGACCAGACAGAATTGTAGATATAATTACCTTGATACTAATTTTGTTGCAACTTATGAACACGTCACAATAGACATGACATGTGACCCTTTCTGAATACACTTTCCCAGAACCTAGCACAGCTCCCAAGACCATCGCTACAAGAATGAGTACATTTTTAAATATCACCAACAGGGTAAAGTTTATTTATAAATACAACGGGCTTAGCCTAGCACATGCTAAAACACAGCCATTGATCACTATAGCTGCATGGACACCGTTGGGAGTCCTGAAAGTAGGCAGACATGTTGCGCCAAGAGCCAAGCCTCTCTACTAAGTAATTATGTACAAAAGACTTACAAATACATGTATAAGTTAGCTAAACGTAATAAGGTGTAATGGAATGAACTTTTGTATACAAGACACTTTGTGCCACAGTTTTAAATAAGAAGGTCCTATCATGCTACACGATCACTATAAAAAATACATTGATGTGTGTCTGCAGAGTTAATTTGAGCAGCTGTGGGTCCGCCAATCAAGCAGAACTGTAGAGGGTTCTGAGAATTACATCGGCTAAAAAAACGCTGGTTCAAAGCGAACCTAAGAAAGCTGCACTAGCAAAAAAAAAAAAATCAAGCTTAGTGTCGGCAATATAATATTGCACAATCATTACATGCTCACCATCGAAATTGAATCTCGTGACACTTTGCCTTGGTGACTATTACGTGATGCAGAGCTCTCAAACTGTCACACAACATGCACAATAGAAAAAAAGATTCAAGCATCTCAACATGCACAGCCCAACCGAAATAGTGAGGACTGCGAGACCACGCTATCGCGGCATGCTAAAGCATTCACTACATGGCTGCTTGCTTCTTGCCACAGGTGCACGGACAAGTGCACGACACGTTAGCAGCAGCCATGGCCATGATTTCGAGCTCTTCGAGTTCGTCCTCGAACATCATCACCAAGATGTCTTCAACCCTTCTCTCTGTAACGAGAATGCAGAAGACTCTCTTCACAAAGATTGGTCCAAAGTGTTTCCCAATTTGACATTCGTCTTGCACCTCTGTTACAGGAGATGATTTATTATTGGTTGCATGAAATGACAGTTCAGCATAACATAGTTAGCTAACAGTAACGAGTGTTTTAAAACCCAGTTTGTGCTCCTCACTTCAGTGCATCAACTAGACAAAACAGCTCCAAGTTTTAGGCAGTCGTGTATCTATGTAAAGAGAGGGTCCTCCCACCTCTTTGCGAAAGGAGGGTCGAGTCTACGCATGCACAGTGGGGGAGCGGACAGTTGCCGAGGGACGGACTCAGCCCCAAGCAAAATATGCTTTGCATCTAAAAAAAATCAGTCCACCGATCTTTCAGAGGTGACAGGCACTATTATTGACTCTGGCATCCTTCTTGTGATGTTTGTGCAATTGCTAATATTTATATGTTATGATTACTTCGATAATTATAGTACCTCCTTTGCCACCCCTCGCTTATGAATCCTTATGGACACGACAGCAGAAAAGCAGAGTATATCTCACAATCATTACACCTCGGTTCAAAATCTGTAACAACACTTACCAGCCTTAGTATCCAGCACGCAAAATCGTTACAATTAAAGCCACTGAGAGAGTTCTCGAAGTTCTTCGTTTTCACCTCCCGTGTCTTTCAAACTTTGACCCATCGTTATCGACCTTCTCTGCAAATTACACATTTTGCCACGTGCCACTAAAACTTATCAGGGTTTGATTATTATCAAATTCCATCCGCTTCAAAGGAGATCAAGCTTTCACATGTGATAAGCGTATCGTGCCACAATGCATACTTAGTTGGTGCAGTCATTAACCATAAGCAAAAAACATTATACAAAAGCAGTGGCTTACTCTTCATGATGTGAAACCTGCTTTTCACACTGTCCGACATGTCGGGAACATTCGGGTTCCTCGCAGCGTCCGGTTTGTCTAAGCTGTCTTCCAACACGTTGTGGTCGGAGTCGACGTGCATTTCGGGAAACTGGGGCTTGCTATCGCCATTGCCACCTTCCTCCTTGGAGCGCTTCTTTCGTGGTTGTCTGAAAAAAAAAAAGGGAAGAGCGCGAAAGACAGTTGACTTGTATCGTCACGAGTGGCCGACCATTTCATGCTGGCGTAAGCACAAGTGCATCTTCCAGGAAGCTCCGTTTGCCCCCTATTAAAGGCAAATTAAAGAGATATAAGAGTTTTCTTGTACTACTACAAGTGCCTCCTTCCGCTTTTTGGCAGATTTGAAATACGTGTGAAAGACCAAGCAAGCACCCTCCCCTCCCCCATAGTTAATTTTTTCAACCTGTTCTTTGCTACACAATGCTACAGCAGCAGCAGCTCTTAGAAATGCAAGTTCTTGCGCGATTTCCTAGTGTTTTCGTATTGTGGTGCCTCGGGGTTTCACTCTCAGTGGTCACCGGCTGTCGGGAATACTTGAAGACCACTATCTTGAATTTGTTCCACAACAAAGCAAGGACGCCCCACAGAATATTGTCCGATTATCCGTTATTGTAGGGAGGAGCGCTTCCTCAGGATTTTATGGTAGGAAAGTACTCTTTCAAGATGCCAACAAAACCATGCTTGCTGTGAGAACACGCTTTACAAACAAGAAAACATTCAAAAAGGAAACTCAGATAGAAACTTCGAAGTTCCTGCACCAGTTGCCGTGATGTCACAGATTTTGATGGCGTGTACTAGGGCCTATATACCGCGATTACTCGAATCTAACGTGCACCTTTTTTCCGGTTAAGCGAGTTCATGAATCGCATGTGCGCTAGAAACGAGTACGAAAAAAAAAAAATTACGGTCAATCTATTGCCATCGGCAAATGCAAAATGGCCGCCCCCTACGTGCGTCGGCATGGCGCGTCGGCCATTTCTGCCTATGTGTTTCCCATGTGCGGCACTTCGTACGTGTGCTGAGGAGTTCGTCATCTAGTAGTGCATTAGAATCGACGGCGTGGAAGGGCCGACTCCCAAAACTTGAGTGCACCACGATGCCGCTTTTAAAAGAAAAGTCATCGCGTGTGCAGAAACGGAGGGAAATCGGGCCGCATCACGGTCGCTCGGAGTTCCCGAAACGTGCGTGCGGGACCGGCGGAAACAAAAGCAGAAGATTGTCGACAGCAAAACTTCACGCAAAGGCTTCTGTGGACCACACCAGGGTCAGTTTCCGCACATTAAAGAGCTGCTCGGCGAGTATGTGCTTGAGCAGCGAGCCGCACAGCGGCCCGTGACGACAGAACTGCTCCAAGTGCGGTCTTAGTTAGCTTTAGAATAGAAAAAGGGCTAATGCGGAGCCAGTTTAAAGCAAGCAGGTGCTGGCTAACTAACTTTATGAAGAGGAAAGGCTTTTTCCTCCGAAGGGGAACATGCATATGCGAAAAGTTTTGCGGAGGAGTACGATGAAAAGCTTCACAGTTTTCAAAGGTTCGTCCTAAACTTGCGGCGCAACAACGGCTACCTGCTTGGGCAAATCGGGAATGCCGATCAGACGCCTCTTTACTTCGACATGCCTGGCACCACAACCGTCGAGAAGAAGGGTGTGAAGCAAGTTCGCGTGCTGACATCGGTCCTCGGTAAAACTACAGTGACGGCAATGCTCTGTTACACGTCAGATGAGCACAAGCTTCGCCGTACCTCATATTTAAATGGAAGATGCTCCCGAAAGCAGTCGTTTTTTCGAGTGGTGTGATCGTGCAGGCCAGGAGAAAAATGGGTGCGCGTTGCAATCGATGTCTTACGTTTTGTTTTTTTTGCGCAGTGGAAATCGGGTGCGCGTTACAATCGAGGGCGCGGTAGAATCGAGTAAATACGGTAGCTCATATTCAGTAAAAATGAAGTTTGTTGTTTTCTGAGCAGGCCAGAGACATAACGTACTAAGTTTTACGAAATTGTGTCGAGCCATCACATACGAAACGAAAAATAACACTGAAATCTACGACATCACTGCAGGACGTATTGCCCAGAAGTTTGAAAGCGAAACTTTGACATTGATTTTTTTTGTTTGTTGATAAACCTATGGGGGTTAAATTAACAAAGCTAGCATTTTCTGTGTATCATTCATGTGTAATAAATCAGTATAATCTAACTGTCATTTTCAGTATCAACTAACTGGCAGACACTTCAGTGTCCCTTTTATGCTACTTTGAAGCCGTTCTCTGTGCAGTGAGTGAGTGGCGCAGCACAGAATTCATAGATGGTCACAGTTGACTCACTTTCCAAGCTTGAGCCCCATTTCTCCAATCTTCGTTTCAACGGCACTCTCTAGCTTGGTCTTGTCAATTGTGTACTCCAGGAGAAAGGCTTCCAGCACAAATGCCGTGAAAATGCTGAACAGACGATAGAAGAACAACACTGCTGCATTTAATAGAGCAACAAACACAAACTTTTGTGCATTCACCTGAGGAATGCCATGAACTTCAACTATTAAGCGCGAGAGAAGCAAACTTAAGAGACATTTAAATTTCAAGAGCAGTTGCTCGTTGCAGTCGAGCAATGCTTTGCGGCGAAACTTGTGAATCACCACATCAACAACAGACAGCAGTGCAAAACGTGGCACATTTAGTCCGCTAACAACAAAAAAAAAAAGTTATATTTTCAAGCAGTTTGCTATGTATGGGAGGTTGTGCTGAAATGATTTTGCAAAGATTTGAACCCGGATACTTTCTGGTGTCCACATTTGTGGGGAGTGGTATATGCAAGAATATAGTTTAATATTCCGGGTTTTTAAAATACTGATGAGCATTAACAGGAGATATCAAAGCAAATTCGTATTCAGAGACTGCATTCCTTGCGCTAAGCACTGCACTTCTGTGCTCAACAACTATGACTTCGTTACAGCCCACAATTGTAAAAGAAACCACAAGTTGTAAAAACAAAATTAGGGAGCGAGACTGTGTTGATCAGGTACTACTGTGCTCTGACTTACGATGTCAGCAAAACCTGCTTCAAATATACCAGCCAGTGTGCTGGAATTTCTCTGTTCGTTATAAGCAAGATTCGATATGCGCATTACTGCTAAGACGCCTCACAAGATTGCACACACAAAAACACACGCATACAGATTGCCTGAGGTGCTATGTGTTAAAAAATAAGCTAGACCAAGCTCGTTTAGCGATTTTTGCAAATAATAGAAGCCGGGATATCACTCACTTCAGCACAATGACGACGCAGGACAGGTGGAACAGTAGGAAATACAGGCGGGCAGCCTTGCTCGTAACATGCACAAATCCCTCGGTCAGGAGTGAGGACGCTAGTTAAGGAAGCTTTCAGCTTTTGCACACTTCTATGTAGGCAGCAGGATATTAAACATTAGCAAGTTCATTTGTGTTTGACTTCTGAAAAATTTATGATGCACTATCAATATGTCTTCATTCATAATACATGTTCAATTTGAAATAGACCCTTCTGTGAAATTTTGTCATGCAATATAGCGCAAGTGTATTCCGTTGTAGTCACCAATTGACAGCCCTAAAATTTTGTTTCGTCATATTCTTGTTTTTGCGTTCAGAATTCTGAAAATGGAAGAAATTTCTACTCATTGAAACATTTTTGCCAGGTATACAGAATGGTAATGCAGCTTTTTTATGTCAAGCATGCTTAAAAACTCTGAGCATTGACTAAATTTTCTTGGGTATGCAAACATGTATGGTGTCATGGTGGGGGAGCTTATTGTAGACTGTGTGAGAGGAGAGGACAGGTGCAACTTGACGCAGAGGGAGGGGGGCAGCAAATGCCGCTTTCGCACCCGTCGCAGACACCAATGCTTAGAACATGCCTTCCAAGGGACTTGAAAAGTGCGCCTGACATTACAACTCCGAGAAAGAGAATGAAAGAAACGAACCTGCAATGTACTGGCATACTGGCATTTAGACACTATAGGCACTGAGACGACGTACTAGCACTGAGCACAAAGATCCAGTTCTTTACGCTGCGAGTTCTTTTACACAAAACAGGGCGCTTTGCTAGATTAACCTAAACTTGCAGCACGATGCCAGTGAGAAGCATCACGAGATGCATTCGTAATGAAGACCAGCCGATAATAAAGCCAGGGAAGGTATTGGAGATGTTAATTGTACCATTTCAATAGTGCTGTAGTCATTACTACAAATTTGAAGAAAATGAAGTGGACGAAAAAAAAACAACTTACCTTCGGCACGAACTGAGCCAACAACTTTTGACAAGTTGTCTTTTTGTCCACTTTATTTTTTTTTTCACATCAACCACATCACAATTACTATAATACACCTGAATCAGTACAATTAATTTCCCCTATATCTTCCTACCCTTCAATATTGGCTTGTTGCCACTAAGTTCTTTCAGACAATACAAAACGTCTGAGATTTCTTTCTTACGAGATGTATTCAAGCCATTTTTAATAAATCTTTAAAAGATATTTGCTTTATATATTAATATCTCACAGCAGAATTGCGCCTATAGTGCCCAAGCAGTATAAAAAAGCAAAGCGATCTGGTTATCAAACATAATTTTGTTTACCAGAAAATTTGATTAAGCCTTTTTAATCCTGAACCAAGGTTTCTACACCTTACAGTGAACCATGATATCTTATTACAAATTAAGTGGACTAAAGAAAAGCATAAATTATAAGGAACAATGCAGCATATTATCCATTAACTTTGATTGTTAGATTACTTAAGTAAACAAAACACATTTACATTTCACATAAATTAAGCATGCTTAGGTTAAAGCAAGCCTTAACTAAGCAGAAACAAAACAAAGGATATTGTGCCACTGATTGACAACCATCAGTTCGAAAAGGACCACGAAGGAGCTGAAAATGTTGTTGAAGTTGTTCTTGCAGTAGCCCGTCGCATAAAAGGTCGAGTGCTTCAGTTTGTCGTTGCCGCAGTACAGCTGCGTCTCCACAGAATGCGTGCCGTTGAAGCCTCCGTAGAATGTGATCTTGTCACGATAAAGCTCCATGCCAATGACAGCGTAGACGTAGTAGACAGCCTGGAAAAAAGAAAATGAGAGGTAGAATTTATAAAGTCCAAGAAAAGCTTACGGGATAGGTCCTCGGAAAAATCACACTGGTATCAGCACCTAAAGTGTTTTTGGGGACACTGAAAATACTAATGCTCGTACGAGAAACTGCGAAGGACAGGCAAAGACAAAAATGTATTCAGATCTCGCACCGAAGGAGCCCCCTGCCCTACCTTATGTGTTCACGGTAAAGAGAATTTAGCATATAGCATAAACGTAAAATTAACACAAACACCATGTTTTGTAACATAAACTCCAGCCATCTAAACACTTTAACATTATACTTAACCTTTAAAGTACTGTACATAACAGGCCTGATCCAGGTGAAAGGGGTTGCTTCCCCCCATAAATTATAAAATTTTTTATTAGTACTGTATTTACTCGCATAATAGGCGCACTTTTTTTTTCAGAAAATCCGGCTCGAAGTTACGGGTGCACCAATTACGCGGGGAAAAATTTTCGAAAATTTTTTCAACTCTGTTCTCGCGCTTTAAATCTGCACACTTGTCAAGTAAAAGGCGACTTTATCGTTTACCAATTAATTCAGCATAAAACAAACATACCTACGTACCTTTTAATGAACAAGCGAGAGCCGTCAACTGCACACACACACACACGTAAAATTTATTTACACAAAAGTCGTAGCTGTTCCTCCTTTTCCCTATTCGGAGTCCGAGTCGGAGATCACACATTCATCCTCGCCGAGCGGGGATTCGTTTTCGGTGTCCGAAAAGTGCGAGGCCATGGCGCCGCATCAAACGAGTTGTCCATCCGGAGCTGGCTTTGAACTCTTTTGCTTCGATGCCCTGCGCTTGGGCTATTCTGCGCGCCTCAGTCTGCACAATATCCAACGACACAGCACAGCCGTCTTGTCGTAGCTCCCGTATACGCCGGACCAGTTGCTCTTCGACGTTCGGATACCTGCCGATCTTGGCACCGCGGAAAGCCCGTCCTGTCTTCTTCGTCGCCTTAGGTTTTTCTTCTTGGTCCCTCCAGTACCGAATACTGGTTTCTCCAATGCCGAAATGCCTGCTTGCAGCCCGGTTGCCGTGCTCCAGAGCGTACTGCACTGCCTTCTGTTTAAACCCAGCCGTGTAACTCGCGTACTTCTCCATGGTGGAACCAAAGTTCAATACGCGACCACAACATATGCACACCGCTTGCAAAATGGCGTTTCTTTCTTTTTCTCTGATGGTGGTGATGGCGATCGAGCCCCCGGCGTTGTACACGTGACCTCCAAAAAGCGCGGCGATTTGGGGGGTATCAGTAATTGATGGAACAGCCGTTTTTTTTTTTTTCGCTCATGGACGCTTTTTTTTTTTTCAAGTTTTATTTCGGCAAACACGTTGATTAGGTCGTTGCACTTCGAATTTTTTTTTATTTGCTCGTCGATTTGCCTTCTTTTTTTTCTTCAGGGTACGGGGACCGCGTTCCAACTGTACCGCTGGGGGGTAGAATCGTTTTTGATCACAGTCAAGTTCGGGGTGCGTCTATTATGCGCGGAATTAAAAAAAATCAAATTTTCCGCGACCAAACTAGGGGTGCGCCTATTATGCGAGTGCGCAGATTATGCGAGTAAATACGGTATATATAAGGCACACATAAAACCTATGCACAAACATACATAAAGTATGGCGTGCCATTGGGAATACTTACAAACAGTACGCCGCCAAAAGTCAGTATTGATGGCCCAAGGTTAGTGATGGTGTTGATAATTCCACGGAACCTGCAGACATCAACAGGGTAAGTCTTGAAAAACTCTCTTTAGACGTGCTGTAATCGCTCCAAAACTACAAATTTCTGTTAAAACGCTGCATCTGTACGAGCGCTGTTAGGAGACCACCACTTCTCATCAGCGGAGTATTAACCACGTGTGTGATCAACACGAAGCAAGTATATTTCCATGAAGCTGATTGAAATATAGTGTTGCACTGTCGTCTTTCTTACTTTTTGAAATTGCGGATGAGCTTCACAAGCCTGAGAACTCGCAAGACCAAGAGAATGTCAAGAGTCAATGTCCTGCTGTTGTCTGCAAAAGACAAAAAAATTGACCGTGCATAGTTATCAAGATTACACAGCAGCAGCTAGCAGGATTGCACTGCTCAGTTTTTGGCTGTATAAAGGGGCTGACATAAGCTGAGAGGAATGACAATATTCACTTAGCTAATCATCGTGGCACAAATAAGTGGTTTAGTCAACCTGCTCACCACACATATTTACATTGCTTAAATAGCACACATGAGTGCTCTTTGTGCACAAATAAATTAACATGTTAGCAACTCACTAGCTCATCCAGCAAACCGAATGAATTTTTTATGAAAAACGCGACTTACTTGATGCTCCAACAGCTACTTCGTATAACGTTCCAACCACTGCGGAACCAATGATGATGAAGTCAAAACTGCAACGAGAAAATGCGAGAAATCGGGCCAAGCGTTGAGGCACTGTAGGGCAATAGGTAAAGCACCTAGGTCATGCTCTTATATGTGCATGTGTGTCTGCATGCACATGTGTGCGTGCATGTGTGTATAGTAAGAAAGATGAACTCCAGTGCAAAGGCAGCAGGACATACTATACAGAACTGGCTTGAACCAGACACCCTTCGTGCTTTGCGAAGTCATTCAATCATAAAAATTTACACACAAACAAAGCACACATTAATTAGTTTTGCCTTAAGGCACGACTCCATACACGTCTTGTTCTATATGCAACCATTCACAAAAACAACCATAGCAGCAGAATTTATGTGTAAACTTCATGAATTTTTTTTAGCAAGGCTTACATGTACAAAAATTAAGAAGTTTGCGGGTATAAATTGGCAGCAGCAAGCGCAGGACCGGGTTAACTGGCGGAACATGGGAGAGGCCTTTGTCCTGCAGTGGACGTAGTCAGGCTGATGATGATGGTGACATGTACAAAAATATGGTATATGGCCACAGGTGTGAGCAAGGTTTCCCTACAGGAGGGGCAAAGGTTTTCTTCGTGGTGCTTCGCACCTCCCTATCATGTCAATGTACAGGGCTAACATTGTGCCCTGCTCTTAGGTAGCCAAGGAAGAGCGACCAACCCATCTGCCCCCCTCCCTCTTTGTGCGCATGACTACATATATTGACAGTTTCCCAAAATAAGTTCGAATTTCAGTTCTTTACTCACACATTCCATGCCTGCTTCATAAACTGAACGAATCCAAAGGCGTATATCTTGAGCATTATCTCTATGCTGAAGACTGTCAGAAAGAACCACTCCGCTTCGTATACGTCCAGTCCGATGACTATGGCATTGACTAGAATCAGCAAGTCAAACAGGTATCTGAAAAAACTGTGGAGAGAAGCAAGATCTTGTGAGGTATTACGTTAGAAAAGCGATGCAAACTACCCACAGCACACAACACACAGCGTAAGTAATATGCTATGAAGTGGGCAGTGATGAATTGAACAGTGTGTGCAGAGAAGAATTTTATAAAGCCTAGTGGCTACGGGGTCGCACTCTTAAGCATGAGGCCATAGGTTCAATTGTCTGCCACAGCGGCCACATTTCGATGGGACAAAAATGCAAAGATGGCCGTGCACTTGGATTGAGGTTACAAAAGCCAAAAGTTCGACAGCTCTCTCATCTAGAGCTGTCAAAGTGTAAGAGCACTGCGGGTGAAAAATGGTTACATTCAGCGAAAGGAGGCATTCTCAGTAGTGTTTCATTTTCTGAAACGCAGACACGTTTCACGAAACACTGCTTGAACAGCACCATACGCACCAGCCCAGTGCTGTAAATGCAATGACCTGCCGTCACAGACGTTTCCTGTGCTAGACACACAAGATGTTCCTTAAGTTAACGCACAACCAAAAGTGAAGAACAGGATTCCTCACTCAAGGTGACATGCAAATGCATGCTTTAATGGTTAGCATTATGCAAACGAATATAATTTCAGCCAAATAAACTTTGTAGCATTGATAAGTCAGCATGCTCTGATATTTTGCAAGCCTACATCTGTCATAACAATCGCCAATAAAGACAATCATGCACAATCCCGCACATGCTCAAGTAATGATAAAAACGTAGATAGCATGCAACAGGTGAGGCAGGCTGTTGTAGGCTACATAAAGGGCAGCAATGACCGTGGCAGCGCAAATGTTTTATCAGCGCTATATTGAAATTCACCCATAGACCACTAAGGCTCATTAGTTTTCTTCAAGCAATAAGTGAACAAATGACTTAGGGAAAGCATTTAAAGAATAAACATTCAACAGATCATTCAGCAGATCAAATTTGATCCGTACATTTTTACACACCCACTTAAAACCTTCCAGATGATTATCATCTTACCGATGTTGAAATTTCATTATATATTGTGTAAAAATGATTGAATTACAGCTCACTTTTCCTCTGAGATTATGTATCAGCGGATAATGAACATTGCTATGCAATTGAGTTGTCTTTTCCTGAACCATGTTTCTTGGAGACATGGAGATACGGGAATTTCACACCCTTAATGTTACAGAAGGGAAACCTGCTAGCGCAAAATGGTTTCACTGCTTCAATATTCCTGTCTCTTAGGTAGCGAGATGATTTACATAACTCTTCTAGAATATTTTTATTGGCACACATAGCTGTGGTTCACTTGCAGCAGCCAACAAGTACTTTACTACTTATTAATTTATGTCGATTTCTTACTAAATATCTACATTAGACAAATTAGGTCCACCTTTCTCTGATCAAATGATCACTGGAGTAATTGTGTCTTGCATTTGCCAAAATATGTCTGCTGGACCCTAATAAACTTCTACCCTGTAATTCACCATATCGAAGTTTTACTGAGGTCACCAAAATATTCAGCAGACACTGGGCAACCATGACATTGTACCACCCAGGCTGTCAGAGTTAGAAACTTTACTGCGTTCGGCTCTACGAGTGTTTCTACAATGCAAAGTGCTAAAAAACATACGGCCCCATGCACTACGTCCATGCACTGCGCACCGCTACTCTACCTTCAGCAACGTTTTCTTTTTTTTAATCCCCATAGGTCAACATTACCGTCTGCCCCATTTGTGTTCCCAGATTGGCAGCACCTTCCTGTAACTAGAGATTCGCTGCAATCAGTAGCCATTCTCATTGCTCTCCCACTTCTCAATGTCCCTGAATCGACTATTTACCACTGCTTTACAACCACAAGATCAACATCTTTTCCGTATTGATATCGCTTTTCTTTTCCCAAAGGTCACATCTTTTCGTCCCTCTAGTAGGTCAGCACACTTGTCTAGAATACTGCAACAAAATGCTCCGGTACATTCTGGCCCGAGGTATACCGATAACAAGTAAGCAGTTTGAGGAAGCCCATACTCGAGCAACCACCCTACGCCGACGCGCATGCCAAAATTTGGGCTTTTTCAAATCAGCCAAAATTGACAAGCAGTGTCAGTGCTTCCCAGGTTTTAGACAAGTGTGTTGAACTCTGTACACGCGCGTCCACAACCTGCTAAAGCAAAAGCAACGAGAGTTGTGAGGAAGCATCAGCTGACTCTTTTCAACACTAACGTAAAGCTTAAGCTCCTCAGCATCACCTTTGCGTGGAGGAGTTCATCCACCACACGCCTTCTACCCACTTGATTTTGCCATGCTTCTAGAAAACCACAGAGTCTTGCACAACACGCCTGGCTTTCCAAGCGAAATGTTTTCCAAATTCCATCGCGGACATTCGTATTTAAAGCAAGTCAGCAAGATGCCCGTTCATGCCTGCGATAAGTGCCACGAATGCCTGAACTAGTCAGTTTCTCGTATGATAGCGTGCAAACTAAAGTGCAAGCAGAACAACTACGGGAGTGCTCCAGTTTCACTGAAAAGAATATAATCTTGCACGGCGCAACATTTCCAGCACACTTGGGCACTTCACCGAGAAACCCAACAATTTTCAGTCTTAATATATATTTTAGAAAATCCAAGTTTTTGTGAGAATTTTTCATAATAAATTGATCAATCAATTAATCAATGTGTTCTTTGCTGCAATAAACAAATACAAATAAAGCAGAGATGTATAAAAGCTGCCACTCAGCAGCTTGAGCCCACAACCATGACTTAAGGGAGCTGGAGGGTGTAATTATAGTTACAGTTTAAACTGTCCTAATGAAAGTAACAAAGTAGCAAATACAAGAACGTGCTGAAGACTGACTACATTCTTCAGTATGTTGTTGTCAGAAAAGCATCACACGAAATCGAAGAGGTTGTACACTTTTCAAACATTCACTCTACCTTGGAATGTCCTGTTGTAGTATGGAACTCAAAAGTCCGTAACTGATGCTAATAAACTAGAAGCTATCCAAAATAATTCAGTGCAGTTTGTAACTAACTCGTATAAGTCACAGGCCATGCTCTGTTGCGACGCACTTGATATCCACTGTACCTTATTCTGGTGCTCACTGTCGAATCACGTTGATCGGAATAGTTTCACGACTAATTGCAGCATTTCCCTCAAATAACCCATCTCACATATCAGAAAATTGTGACCATGGCAGAAAAACGCACATTTCTTCTCATACTAAACATTTCTTCTCATACTAAAGTATTTCATCCCCGCAGCATTGAAGGGGTGCTGACACAAAACTTTGCGGCCGAGATAGACTGCGGGAATGGTTCCGGTGAACATTTGTGTATCATCTGAAAAATATCCGCAGGGAACATAGCTTGGAAGGCATTTTACAGCAGTTATAAAGTTTTAATTCTGAAGGTACTGACACCATCAGAAGGGACCCTATGGGGACCCCCTTACTTCCCACACGTCACCCCGCTGCAGTCAATAAAACAAGTTATGATGACGTAATAGCCGCTATCTTTCCTGTGCCACATTGGTTCCAGCAGTCTAGACTTCTCGGTGGCTGAACGCGAGGTGAGGACCGTGGCACACACTTTGAAAGTTTTGTGTGTGGCGGTAGTGCAGTCCTGTTTGAAAGGACTTCCCGATGAGGACCGTACGAAATTGATTGATATGCGGGGTTTAACGTCCCAAAACCACCATATGATTATGAGAGACGCCGTAGTGGAGGGCTCCGGAAATTTTGACCACCTGGGGTTCTTTAACGTGCACCCAAATCTGAGCACACGGGCCTACAACATTTCCGCCTCCATCGGAAATGCAGCTGCCGCAGCCGGGATTCGAACCCGCGACCTGCGGGACCGTACGAAATTGCATCGCAGTTTTGTGTGCTGACGTGGTCGAGAGCTGCACATACTAGGTGGCGATACTAGCACCCAGCGGTTTATCGTTTTTGGAGCTCTCTGAACCGAAACTGAAACTGGTCGATAATGAGGAGCCTACAATTATTTATCTGTCTTGCGCTGCAGCAAACGATGTGCCGTGTTGTGACTAACAGGCCCCCAGCAACACATTCCTGCCATGAAATGTGAGGCCGAAGTTTTGGGGGTCAGTACCTCTTTAAAGAATGGAATAAAAGGTTTAGGGTGATGGTGTTGACAGAAGATCAAGAATTTTTAAGAGAGCTAAGACAGCATTAGTGATAACGCAGAGTACATATTTGAATGTGCCTAATCTATGTGCCTAATATTCGCATCTTCTCTATTGGTGTGTTTGGTCTGTGTTTACTATAGTTTACTATTGCCATGTTTTCATTGTAATATTTATTTGTGTTTTTTTCTCTTAACATCAGCTTTACAGTAATGCTTTCATAGCAGAATGGTAATAAATAATCTTTCATATTATGGAATCAGAACAACAAATTGTGATATAACAAAAGCTTGTTATCACTAACAAGTTTAGAAAATTGCAATTGGTTACTTATGCTTCAAGCATTTGTAAACTGATGAAAATTCAGATTGAAGAGACATGACGACATGTGCATTGAATTTACTTATTCAATATCGCAGTTGGTACTTTCCACATCTCATTCACCCTCATCTCATAACTCTAATAGTTAGTTTTAAGAAATAGGTCATCAATGAAAACTTAATTTTTTTTTAACTTCAAGTTTAAACATCTTTGCGCAAGTGGCAACACAAGTGTCACAATCATGTGTGATCCATGTGCTCACCTTTCCAGCCAAAAACTTTTGTTAACTACAATAAAAAAAGGCAGCACCAGTGAAGACAAATACTAAATTGTGCAGAATGAATGGATGAATGAATTATAAAAGGAATAATGTCTTTTTCTGTAGCGCTGGGGGATCATAGAAAATTATGGCAAATTCCAGCCCCACCGCGGTTGTCTAGTGGCTAAGGTACTCGGCTGCTGACCCGCAGGTCGCAGGATTGAATCTCGGCTGCGGCCGCTGTATTTTTGACGGAGGCGAAAAGGCTGTAGGCCCGTGTGCTCAGATTTGGGTGCACATTAAAAAATCTTTAGGTGGTCGGAATTTTCGGAGCCCTACGCCACAGCGTCTCTTTTACTCATATGGTGATTTTGGGATGTTAAACCCCAAATGGTATGGTATTCATATCCACTTTTTTTTTTTAATAGATTGACGATGTATTTCTTGTTTTTTAGTGTTCCTGCTTATTGTTCTATTGGTTTTTTGTTTTCTTTTGTTTTTTATTCATCTTTCTCTTTTTTATGCTGTGTTTATTTGCTGACAATGTATTTCAGTGTTGCTTGATGATTACCTTTTTTTTTTTTTTTTTTTCATGGGAGGTCTCGCCTGCGGTTCTTACCTTGGGACCTCCCAGTGAATCTGTACCCATGCACTTTTCCATGTTTATGCTTGATGACGAATAAATAATAAATAAATATATGTGATGAAATATACATAAATCAATTACAGCAAATTCCATGCCTTATCTGAAAAATCATGCCAAGAGGCCCGTAACATCGTAGGGGCCACATCACATCAACAAAATAATGTATACAAAGTGGGGCCTTTAGCCAACTTCACACAATACTTCACTTTTGTTGCTACGCTGATCATTGCGATCTATTTGCAAGTTGATTTAATGATTGATTGATATGTAGTGTTTAACATTTTAAAACCACAACATGATTATGAGAGATACCGTAGTGGAGGGCTCCGGAAATTCTGACCACCTGGGAACTTTAATCTGCACCCGAATGTGACGAGCCGTACGGGCCTACAGCATTTTCGCTTCCACCCAAAACGCAGCCGCCACAGCAGCTCGAATCTATTTACAAGTTTCAGGAACGCCATGTTCAATAATCTTTCACCCACATAAAATGCCACAGAACTAATGCTATAGGCGCTTAGCTTGACCAACAGAAAGTGTTTCACTTAATATTAGACATTTGTCGGCTACTACGTTTGGCACCGCCAAGCAGTCCGATGTTGCACTATTGCACAAAACCGAGCTCTGCATTGCAAGATGGAGCGACAGCATGAATGCCTTATGCAGAATTGAGATTTACCAACAAATGCGAGCAAAACAGAGAAGAAGAAATGAATCCTTACCCATTTCCAGTACTCAACAGTGCAGCTGCTGGCACGAAAACAAGAACAAGAATCTCTAAAGAACCCGCTATTCATCTCACAGGTGCAATTAGCAATGGCAGCAGCATGCAGTGGCATTCAGTCGTGCTTATCTACATAAGATTTCTAGTGTCTTCGAGGCAGCATTGAAGTCCAGCAGAACCAGTGGAAGAACAACAACTCCAGAGTTAGCCAAACCAATCTTTTCAGTTTCCTACAGCTTTTCCGTGCTTTCCTCTAAATTCCTACATGTGAGCAAGATTTCAGCGACCAGAAAAGTGCTGTGGTCCAACGAAACAATACAATCACTCCCAAATAGACATTAAAAAGTACAAAAAAGAAGTTGATGCTACACAATTTTAGCTAGCGCCATACTGCAGTATGCCCTATATCCACTACATAAGCCGTTTTTGCAAAAGTATTAATGTAAACAACGTTAGTGTGTACGCATTCAAGGCAGTGTACATGACTGTTACTGCAGTAATGCTACCATAATTAAAGGGGCACTGTAACACGTTTTCGAGTAACTATCGCATGACCTCACCACTGGAGTTTATTACCTTACAAATTGACGCCCACAAAATTATTTAGAATTTGTCCAGCATGAGTGGAGTTACCAAGGATTCTTCACACACTATAAATGCTTTCTCTTCCCTTTCACCCAGGCAAGTGGGCTGAATGCTAAGAAAATGGCATGGCAAGGGCAAGGAAGCTACATCAGTATGTTAGCACGTCATAACCTTGAGCTTTTTTTTTTTTTGCGCAGCTCATTTTCAGTGTGATCACACGCGTGTGGTGTAGGGCGCAGCCGTTATGGTAACTGTGCCACTATGTCCATGTGCTTTTGGGTATAAAAAGCAGTTGATTTAGGGTGTATAAAAAGTGTTGCAGGGCTTTTCTAAGACTTCTCCATGGAATTGTCGAATGGCTTCATTAAAGCAGCTGCTTGCCTCACAAATTGGCTGCCAGAAAATTTTTTTGAATCCGTCAAGTACATGCATAGTTATTGTGATTAATCGCACACTTTAACCGCTTTCTCGCTCCTTTTGCACTAGCCAGCGCCCCGAAGGCTACACTGGGAGGGGGGGTAGCCTGCGTCATGACCTTGAGCACTTCTTTGCTTCTCTTTTCTTCGAATGCACGGTGCGCACAACGTATTTTGAGTGTCACCACGCACGCGTGTGCGTGCAGGTGCATGGCAGCATTTTGTGAAGTTCACGGTAACACCACAGCCACATGCCTCAATCCAGCCAATGCCAAGGACATCGAGGTTATAACAAGGTCATTTTGGGTATAAGGCATCACTTGTCGAGAAAAGGGGCAGCGATTTCTGGCCGACTTTGAGAATTGACTGCAAATCACAAGTCGTATGCTGTGCTATGACGTTTGGCTCTCGCATTCTCGCGAGCCTCGACTTACGAAAGGCAGCGTTTTCTGACTATGCTCAAAAAGTGTTACAGGGCCCCTTTAAGTGTACAATTCTACTTTTTGCAAATAACTAAAAAACGTGACAGGCTACAATAATTTCAACTCACATATGTGCTGTCATGGTGCGAATCCATTGGGACACCACGCAGTTGTACACACGGGGCATAAACTTCTCGAAGCAATTCTCAGTTTCTTCCGTTTCGACTATTCGTACGTTGAGAAGGTCAGCAAGGTACATGAAATCTGGGAGGTCTGTATACAATCATGTCACATCAGCGGATCATTTAGGTCAACTGAGAAGCATGCAAGAAACAATGTTTATCAGTTTATCATGCAACTTACAAAACGTAAATGACTGTTGCTTGAAAAAAAAAAAAAACAAAAAAACACCGACATGACTGAATCATTTGTATCACGGCTCAACACTTAATCAGGGCATTGCAATAACTATCATCTAATTTACAGCAACCAATCAGCACATTAGAAGGATCAGTAGCATGTTGAAACGATCAGCAAACAACTTAATCAGCCAACATGTCATCACAACAGGGCAGTATGCCAGAATGACTGGTCTACATGTTGGAACAACAGGCCAACATGTCTGAATTATCAGCCAACATCTCTGAATCATTAAAACCAGTTGAAATGATAGGCCAACGTCTCTCAAATACCAGCCAACCGTTAAAACGATTAAGTCTTAAAACAAGCCAAGAATGTACAAATTCAAGCAGCAAACAGATGCCATAAAGATGCAGCATAACAAAAAAGAAGCAGCAAAGAAACTTACCCACTTTGTTGTCCCCATTTTGGTCAAGCACGTACCAAAGAATTTTTTTCGTTACTTCACTTCTCGCCGGCGGTATCTTATCAAGCAGGGCCCCGAAGCGGCTGTACGTGATGACGAAAGAATCTCCATCGCGAACTTTGAGAAGGTCGAAGGCACGGGACAGGTTGTCGCGCTTCACCGCAACCATATTCTGCACTTCAATCTTTAAATGGCACAAAAAACCCCAAACTAAGCCATTGTAGAAGCTTCCCCTCTAGCTTCAAGTAAAACAGCACAGACAAAAATCTAGACAAGCAGGAAAAGGATGACACGCAGCTAGGCATGTGCCTATATTCAGGTGCTTCAAATATCTGAACGAATATTCCGGTGTTCAAATTTCTTTCGAAACAAATTTAAGTTACGCCTATATTTCGAAGTATTCGAAATGTACAAATGAACGTATATAAACTGCATGTAGCCCCCTGTAAGAATGGTTACACTGCAGTGAAGGACTGTTAAACTGTGCATACGCCCATCCAAGAAAAATCCGCAAGGCCACGGAGCCCCATTTCAAGAACGGATTACAGATATCAATCCACGATTTTCAAGTTTAAAAGATTGTTATACCGGCTTATATGCTCTAAGCATTGTAAATGGTAAAACAAAATGAAAATACAGATGATCACTAGCATGCTACCAAAAGTTGAGCCTTGCACACACCATTGTAATTGACCCGGTGATGCCAATAAATAGGACATAATGCGACACGAACAAAAATATTTTAGCACACTTTTCATTGTCGTGGGTTTACAAGTATGCTTAGTGCACAAAAAAACTAAACGTACTTGCAACGCCAATTGATCAGAAGCACGCAACAAAATTCTTGCACGAACTCTTGCAAGGAGACTTAAAAGACATACCTTGAGATTCTCACGATAATTGTAGTATATGACGGCCAAAATTATGTTCATGAAGATGTAAAGGCAGATCAGTGTGTACACCACGAAGAACAGGGCAAACAGGGCGTTGTCGTTGTAAGCAGGCATCCTGAAAAGGCAAAGTTCTTGGCATATGAACATGCTGATAACTGACCACAAGAAAAGCAAAGCGAGGTATTCGAAATACAACTTACATTACGTCGGGATGATTAGCAGTGGTAATTAAAACATACAGGCTGAAGTATATGTCGAAGTAGTCCTTGAAGTATGGGCGGCCATCGGGGTAGAATAGAGACCTAGTTGTGACAAAATAAGAAGTATTGTCTGTTAGTGAAGGCCAGGGGACGTGTACACTGGGGTCCACTGTTTAAAGGGAACATTGGAGTGCGTGGTGGTCATTTGGCGCCAGTGCCGGTCTTTAACTGCAAGGAGCTTCACGGAGGCGAAAGGCGCTATTTCGTCATCTCATATTGTGTGCTGCCACGCGCCAAATCGTCGCGAAGAAAACGGTTCACGAGACTAAAGAGAATCGCCCACGGTGCTCACTGCCCCTGCGCAGAACTCTTTGCAGACCCCAGCAGGCAGTGGCCTCGAGTGGCTGCTACACACTCCGGTGTTCTCTTTAACAGTGAACCGCTGTGAAAGCAGAGTACGATCATGGAAAGCAACCAGCAGTAGCCTGTTTCCTGCTTTACTAAAGCTGCGTTGCCCTGAAATACAAACCTCAAGGGGTAGTGAGAAACCAATAAAAAAATTCTTTCATCAAAATGCCCCCCAAAAGTACAAAAACGTTGGATTTACTCGTGGCTGAATAAATTCTTAATGCCTGCTGGTTGTTTGCGCTGTTCCCAGCTTGGAGAAAGATGAACCAGCTCAACTGCCAGATCTGATGAGCTTCTAAAATTTCTTTATTGGGCCACCTCCAACACATAGACATGCAAGAAGAGAGCACACATCAATAAATGAGATATTTTAATGAGCTTTGAGACCCAGCACAGATTACCTGAAATATAGGGCGCACGGTCAATTTATGAGCCAAGCTGTACATAGTAGCCACAAATTGACATAGCACTGAAATTCATACCATCCGTGACTATATCAATGGTGGTCTACCGTTAGTGCTCACGGCTACGGGCAAAAACAAGTTGAGAACATTTTTGGTACATCAAACGAGAGCCAACTAAAATGAAAACTGAACGTTGCGTATACCTTCGTTGGAACAGCTTCAGGGCAAGCAGCGAGAAAAGAGCGATGCTCATGAACAGCAAGATGAGTGCGTAGATAATCTCTTTGAGCGTGTTGCGAATATTTCGCACCGCACGGCGGACCTGCAGAGATAAGGCTGGTGTAATATACACTCAAACCTCGATGGAACGAAACCGGAAATAACGAAATATCGGTTATAACGAAGTAAGTGAAAAACTGTCTTGCAGTAGCTAGTGTTGGGAATAATCCTTTATAGCAAATTTTCGGATATAGCAAACTTATTTTTATGTAAGATGCAACTTTGTTACAATTAGGTTTGAGTGTATTTAAAAAAACACTTCCACACAAGTACTGCTCACTTTAGATCTGATACTGTTGATTTGACTATAAGCACAAGTGCAACATCTCTCTCCCTTCAAACACACCGTCATATGTACCTACATTAATCAGTACATATGGCACATACAGTCAAAGATTACCATAGACCAGCCTATAATGATATACTAAAAGCCTTGGTGTGTGAGACAAACTGTCAGCAGTGCACACAAACTCAGGGGCGCATTGATATTGGTTTAACAATAGACTAAAAGAGACAAAGCGCGGCTAATTAACGTACTACGAAGGTTGTACCGGCAGTGAACATTCAGGAACCCAAATGAATGCAGGAACAAATAAACGCAATTGTCCACGTTTTTCCATGCATTCAAAGGTGTACCATTCGTACAGCTAATGACCACTTTCACGCACACCTGTTTGTTTTCCGCAAAGTTGACCATGAGGAACGGCCTGAGTGGGCGCGTGCAGCGGATGCCCATGCCGGTCAAACCACCCATCTCCATGGCGACGAAGATGACCATGTCGATTATCGTGACCCCGACCACGCCCATGACGACCAGGTTCTTGGGGTCCTTCCAGAACACCTCGGCTCGGCTGAAGCTGGCCGCTTGTGCCAGCCGGAATGTGTAGAAGCTCAGACAGATAAACTCGATGAGCATGGTGCCCTGCAGTGAACAAGGATGCAAGTAAGAGCTTCCGAGATTGTCAGCATCAGCGTGACTACGCCTACTGTGGGGCAAAAGCCTCGGTCGTGTTTCGCCGATCAACCTGGTCCTGTGCTTGCTGTGGCCACGACGCTCAATCCCTCAATCCGACGTCACTCAAAGCCTCTCAATCCCATCTGCCCATCTAACTCCCTGCCTCCCCTCGTGCACTTGCCTTCTCTCGGAATTTACTCCGTTACCTTTAGTGACCAGTGGTGACCTTGCCCTCATGGTACATGCCCAGACCCATTCCTTCTTGATTTACACCAAGATGTCCTTAATGCCCATTTGTTCTGACCCCTTCTGCTCTTTTCTTGTCCATTAAGATTACAACTATCATTTCTTGTTTCATGTTGCCCAGCGTCCTCCTCAATTTAGGTTGAATTTTTCCAAACTCTGGAAGTATGTGCCTAGAGCATGATGTGGTGACCAGCCATGCTGTACAGCAGGGATACTCCAGACAAACTTTGACAACCTAAAAGTCTTTATCCTTCACCTAAATGAAAGTACGCAAATGTTCTTGTTCAACATTATGGAACCGTAGTGGCCGATAATTCTATCTGTGCCCTTGAGCTCAGCAGCACAACACTGTAGCCGCTAAGGCGCAATGGAAAGCGCAGAAAAAATTACCAAAATGCTCTAACACTCTTGAGTGCACCTAAACTTTATTGTAACAAAGTTTCATCTGACACGAAAACAATTTTATACCTGAAATTCATCATTAAATGAATATCTATGACACTGTACTATGACAGGGCTATTCTTCATTTAGTTAGTTACAAATTACAGCTCATTACAAATGTACTCATTAAATTGAGGTTAGAGTATAGATGTGTAATGTGGTTGTGTAAAATATTCAACAATTCAGGGCATTTCCAAAAGCTTCGAGTACAATTTGAAGGTCTCATAAAGGAAGCAGTGAGTGAAATAAGTGCATTGATCTCAGTATAAAAAAAAAAGAAAGATAACTCCACAACAATAGAGCAGTAATGTGGGAAAACAAGCTCAAAGGCACATTTCATATAAACAGAATTTTTGTCCAAGAAACAGAGGGCCACACGTTACAGCCAAATTCAATATGAACTGCAGATACAACCCTACTGACGTTTATGAATCCCTCTGAAAGTGAATAAAAAGTACTAGTACGAGAAATTGGGAGTTGTAAAGCATTGAAACTAGATCCGTGTATCACAGCGTGTGTTTCATATACCAAAAAAAAACATACCCAGATGGGAAGTTCACAGCCGCGAACAGCAGGTCTCTCGAAAACAGCCAAGAGGTGATTAATTAGAATGAAAATGTACAGTACCAGCTGCAGGCCCCAGTGGTGATACATGTTGTAGATCCTGAAAAACGAACAAACAAACAAGCATGAAACGTCTTATGTCAGCATTATGTCAGCTTATGTCACCTTTGAAACTATATTATAGCAGAAGTTTAACATTAGAAAGAAAAAAGCTTTTTGAGCAAACTGTTCGCTTTATGTCTTCAAACCCAATACAGCAAAGCCTTATTCATATAACTCATAAAATAATAAATATATTGTATTGATTCGAGCGCCTAATGTTTCCACCAATATTTCAGACTTGTGTGTTTGATAGCTTCAAACCAAGCATAGCGAAACATTCTAACACTTGACAAAGCTTTCCTGATGTCCAATGCCAGAATAGTTAAAGTGCAAAGCCATAAAACTTCAATACACCAAAGCATCAGTTTCCTGATGTTTACTATATAATGATGAGTACTATCTAAACTCTATATAATTAATATAAATTGCGGCACAAACATGCCAGCATAAGGAAGACCAGTGAATGTGCTGGCCGCAATGAGCTACAGCAAGAGAGATTGATTGATTGATATGCGAGTTTTAATGTCCCAAAACCACCATATGATTATGAGAGACGTCGTAGTGGAGGGCTTTGGAAATTTCGACCACCTGGGGTTCTTTAACGTGCATGGGCCTACAGCACTTTCGCCTCCATCGAAAATGCAGCCGCTGCAGCCAGGATTCGATCAGGTGACGTGCGGGTCAGCAGCTGAGTACCTTGTTCGCTTTATGTCTTCAAACCCAATACAGCAAAGCCTTATTCATATAACTCAAAATAATAAATATATTGTATTGATTCGAGCACCTAATGTTTCCACCAATATTTCAGATTTCTGTGTTTGATAGCTTCAAACCAAGCATAGCGAAACATTCTAACGCTTGACAAAGCTTTCTTGATGTCCAATGCCAGAATAGTTAAAGTGCAAAGCCATAAAACTTCAATACACCAAAGCATCAGTTTCCTGATGTTTACTATATAATGATGAGTACTATCTAAACTCTATATATTTAATATAAATTGCGGCACAAACACGCCAGCATAAGAAAGACCAGTGAATGTGCTGGCCGCAATGAGCTACAGCAAGAGAGATTGATTGATTGATATGCGAGTTTTAATGTCCCAAAACCACCATATGATTATGAGAGATGTCGTAGTGGAAGACTGAAAAGTTCGGCCACCTGGGGTTCTTTAACGTGCATGGGCCTACAGCACTTTCGCCTCCATCGAAAATGCAGCCACTCCAGCCAGGATTCGATCAGGTGACGTGCGGGTCAGCAGCTGAGTACCTTAGCCGCAAGGCCACCGCGCTGGGGCACAGCGAGAGAGAAGACTACGATACTGTGATCCTCAACTTTTTGGCAGCTCCTACGCTTACCTCCTCAATCTAATAAACGGCCCTTTCAGTCATATACATCTCAGTCTATATAGTTACGTTTACTATACTACATAAACACTCTTTACCAGATTGCTTGGGTGACCATTAAAGTCAAATCACAGTCATGTACAAGCTACGGTTTTGTCGCTCTCAATCGAAAGACATATTTCTGACATGTCTTTGCAACATTTTCCATCAAAATCCAGTCTTTCTGACTCGACACTTTCCCATCTGTGACAAAAATTTAGTAGGTTACACAGGACTTGTTTCACTGAAGAAACTACTGCAGCACATATTGTATGTAATACGTAAGCGTAAAGCACAATAATTGAACTTTTTTATGCATACAAGTTTGGTTAATTATATATATATGTTATGAAAGTGACAGATTGCTGAAGTCGACTGTGGAACAATATTGAACAGGGCTTGACAATACTTGCTTCTATCAAATGAAAAAAAAAAAAAACAAGCAAACAAGACCTATGAGATATGAAAAATGTACTGCCACCTTAATAAGCACCGTTTCCAAAAAATACGAAGTTCCTCATCGAACAGGACTTCCCCAATTGGGTGGGTCATGCAGCAAAGGAGTTCCTTGATGTTAGCGCGACGTCGCACGTCTTGTAAGAAACTCCTGTTTTCTGCTTGGTTTATTTGTCGTACTTGAATTTCGGAGTTCCCATAAATTTCTATCCTAGCAGGCCGGCGCTGAAATGTGAACTTACACAGCCCGAAGCAGAAAGTGATGACGACCAATGTTTCAGGCTGCTTTGCATCAATTTTGTTCTCAGAATCAGAGGACCACCAGCAAGCAGGATCTCCTACACTCGCTGCCATTTGCTAAATCAACAAAATAAGTCACAAACACGCCCGATCGTCAACATCTGCAATCTTTTCAAGCGTGCATGCCACATCCGCAGTGCGCATTTTCGCCTTCTACTGCACTTTGATGTTTATGCAACTTCAGAATGCATCCTAATATCAAGGCCCTGTGAGAAAAGAAGAAAACAATCTACATAAAGAATAAAACTATAGTTCTTATCTTTCAAGACAGATAGCACATTGTGCCCATAAACCGCATAAAATGTCTCTAAAGCAGCAGTTTACTACATTGATAACAGGCTACTGGTGCCCTACGGGTGCGGTCTGGAAAGAGTCAAACTGCCTGTAGGCAACGTCCGTGCAAGAACTTAGATGTACCAACCATTGACGTAGGCAGGGAGGAAGAGATCGGCGGTTCAAACAAAATTTTCAATTTGGCCTGTGTACATATTGCACATACACATACAAACCAAAGTACAAACATTTATTAAGAGCAGTCGAACCTTCCCGCAGAAAAAGAAAATAGTTCAGACTCTGCCGTGAAACCTGTGCTTGTGCTCTATGCTACGATGAGCCAATAAACATCATTCGAAGATGGCTGGTCATAAATATTTAGAATGACTCTCCTTGTGGAAAACCTTTTGTAGCCACAAACATTTCTCCCCATTTTCAAGAGGTTGAACTGCAGAAGACTGTTTCAGTGCAGCATTAATGTTACGTGAAAGTTGCAATCGTTGGTTGGCATTCATTCGTGAAAACTCCTTGCTGGGCAAGCAAAGTATTGATTTGCACATGTTGGTAGCTTGTGGTATATAAGCAGTAACACCTAGTTTTTTTGTTATCAACAGAACAGATGCAACTTTTCATTTTGCCCCACAAAAAAACCGGGTCACATAAGATGTCTCTCTGTTTAGTTGCCGATATCTTGTATATTGAGTCATGTGCTTCTTCTGTAGGTGTTTACACCAATTATGATAAATAGTCATATGGTCATTAATGCCACAGGGGCCATTGATGGCCAAGCAGCACTAAGGCATAAGGTTCAGCAAACAGAAAAACAAATTATGTCATGACTGATGTCCATATTTAGTTGGTCTTCGAATGGTGTTGTCAGTATTGCAAATACGACTATCTTTTAAAGAGCTTTCCGATGTGGTTTAAATCTTTGAGTGTGCTCAACATAACACAAGGTTGAAGCAAAAGTGTGATGCTGCTAACTGTTGTCCGTCCCTTATCTATTCGGCCCCATTTAAGAACAATAAAATGGGGATCGTTGTAACAGTTACACAATGCCTGCATTGTGTTGTTCTGATAGCCTACGTCAGAAGCTACAACATTCATGGGTAACAGCGATACTGTCGACAGACACATTCTGCACAAAGATGAAAATGTGATACTGCCCACGACACAAAAACACCACCAACATGAACTCCATACACTGCTGAACTGAATGATGGACTTTACAACAACGATTATTGAACACTGGTCGCCTACTTCTTGTTTAAGGGAGCATAGTTACCTTCTCCCCACACACAGTCTCTGCTATTGCTTAAGTATGTTGATGAGCTGGAAGAATGGCTTGAGGTTCAAAGCACTTTTAAAATGCCACTAACCTATCAAAGAAAAAAAGTCAAATGAATTGAAAGGCCTACATTTTGGCGACTAATCCATTTGAAGCTACGCGAGAATGAAGTCAAGCAAAGTGTAGGGAGAGTTGTTTGTAGATTTTAATCTGGCATAGTAATTAAGATGCAAAGAGATTAATTAAAAGTGCTCTGCAACACTTTTCCAAGTAATTATTAAATGACCTAACAATCAGAGTGCTGCCACACGAATCAAATGGGGCAAAGCTTTTTTAAGAATCCATCAGCTATGACCTGCGCTGGTTTTAACCACACTCTAAGAGCTTCATTATGGTCAGCTGTTTGGCTAGTTAGGTCGAAATTCTGCTTAGGAGAGCGTGCACCCCTAAACAAGCTGTCTAAAAGTTTCCTCTTTCCTTTCACCACAGCAAGACTGCTGAAAACTAAACAAAGAAGAAAAAAAATAAAAGACAGGACACTCTATTTAGTTTTCTTTCAATGCCCTCACAGCCAACGTATAAACGCTGCGCGGCGCACTTGCTTGCAGCATAGACATGTTGCGGCACACCGCGGTGGCAGTGGTAAACACTATGCGTCTCGCACTGTTCAAGTCAGCCAATGGCCATATCTTTTGGGTATGTGGTGCCGCTGATTTGTGTAAGTGGCATCATTTGTCGGGAAAAGAGTGCATCAGTTCTGGATGACCTTGAAAATTAATTTCAAATTTCAGGCAGTGTGCCACACTATTATGTTTGAGCTTGCATGCTCACAGCAGCCTTGATCACCAATCGGCAGTATTTTCTGACCGAGTTGAAAAAACGCTGCAGGACCCCTAAAAAGCAGACAAAAACAACCAATAACCACTAGGGACGAGACACACAACCTTTGCGTCAGTAGTAAGGTAGTGCCGCTAGAAAAATTGAGAAATTAGGATGCTCTGCTCTACAGCAAGCATCGACGACAGTCAACAAACACATACGCCAAAGAAAAAGAAGCTGTAACTAACTTTGCATCTGTTAGAAAATTTCACTTTAACATGCAATCCGGACAAGACCAAGACTTACAAAAACATTGGGACTTGGTATGATCAGCAGTGGATTATTAATAGAAGCCTCCACTATACGCCAATGTTACGATAATACATGTCTTCGTGCTCTTTTTAAACGTAGAGCTGTTTGCGGAAAATGGCAACTCCAGCCTAAAGACACATAATCCCTTGAAAGTGACAATTCGTTATATCAATGTTTATTATGTTTATTACGGTGGTCTAGTGGCTAAGGTACTCGGCTGCTGACCCGCAGGTCGTGGGATCGATCCAGGCTGTGGCAGCTGCGTTTCCGATGGAGGCGGAAATGTTCTAGGCCCGTGCGCTCTGATTTGAGTGCACGTTAAAGAACCCCAGGTGGTCGAAATTTACGAAGCCCTCCACTACGGCGTCTCTCATAATCATATGGTGGCTTTGGGACGTTAAACCCCACAGATCAATCAATCAATCGATATGTTGAGGGTCACTGTGTTCAAAATCTAACGACCAAAAGGTTGCGCAAACCTGACTGCTTTCTCGGTCATCTTGAAGTCTGAATGATAGCTTTCCATAGCATCCCTGACCAAAGCGCTCGCCAGTATAAGGTCCTGCAAAAGAACAATTCATAATTTTTTTTTACAAATAACGGCATTTGGACACTGTATGGATAAGCAAACGTAACTTGAACTGCATAAATCGCACGTGTAGACAGCAAAGTATATAAACTTAACAACAAAGCTTTCGTGCATTATGCATTTCACGTGTAAGTGGCCGCTATGTCATAAATGGTGCATAAGTATGTCATACTCGGCAGCGGTAGTATGCAAACGCAAAAACACTGAAGTCGTATGACTTACTTCACATCAACTAGAAGACTTAATACAGATATTTGAGAGAGCATTGAGGAGTTTCTAATTTCACACTAAAAAACAAAAAAGGAAAACAAAAAAAACATCGGCAAAAGTTATAACTACGAAAAGCCATATCTTATGTGACGCAAGAACTGCAATAGTGGCATGCGACTTGGCTACCATGTTAGAAGACACGAAGACGCACAACACAATAAAACAAGCAAGGCTGTAGAAAACTGTCACTGCAAATTCTTGGAAGCACAGAGCTGCTGCATTAATAACGATTAATGGGTCAAACTGAATCCTCCACTTCAATTTTCATTAGTTCATGACTATCCTTTCCTTGTCGCTCCATTATGGACCCACTGATATGCCTACAAAAGCTAATCAGTCTTTGATCGAGCAGCCTCAATGTACAGTCTGTTTCACACTTAGGGGAAATCTCGTAGCGCATGGCATCGTGATGCGGCTACGATCAGGTTCCTGAACCAAAGCATTCCTGAACTCATTATGGTTTGTTTTATTGTGTTGAACCCGCATAGCTGCGCAGCAGATGATGTAGCACGCCTCGTTTTTCTTTAGCATGAAATGAACACCATGCACGATACATGGTCATTGTGGCCTTCTCCGCTGCAGCATACTGCGGTGGGCACACAAAGAAGAAATTTACGTGAATGCACCCAGTACCACGGCGTTTCGACAAAGCAAACAGCGTATGCTGTAAGATAATGTTTTCAGAACCCCATTATTGCCAATGAAGGTTGGCATCGCGCGTTTAATACAGAATATCGGCCTTGTTTTTGCAGCAGCAATCAAATCAGCAGGCTACTTGACAATGTGGCCAGCGCGCACAGCCATCGCAGAAGATGCGGTTTCACACCACGATTCTTATGCGTCCGCACATGCACGATCTGCTGCCTGCATGCGACTGCAGCGCTGGCCGCATAGCAATGCCATGTGCTCCCAGATTTCCCGTAAGTGCGAAACAGGCTGTACATTAACTACAAATAGTGGTACAAACTGGTTTTTTTTTTTGAATAAATTAGTAATTTAAGACATTATATTGAGTACATGGACAGGCCTTTACTGTACATTACCAAACAAACGTTGAAAAAATGTTACAGCACTGTTGTGTTTTCCTTCTTTTTTTCTTCGTGAGATTCAATGGGACCTGCCAGGATAATGCAGCTTTTCCCCCCCTCTAATTGTTAAATATATGCAATCGTAGCTTCGTTTCGCTACAGTGTGACAAAAATGAAAATGATAAGGTCCACAAACAATGGGACACAGCAATGTGTCCCATCGTTTGTAGGCCTTAGCATGTTCATCTTCCTAGTCATGCTGTAACAAAATTAGAACAGTGCCAACCTGCCAAGTTGACTGTACTCCTAAATTTTGGCATGCACCAGTGGTGCAGAGACACTTTAATGCTCCTACTCCTCCAAATAATTACGTAGTACTAATTACAGAGATGTAATAAGAATACAAGCCCTCCCCAAGATTCACTCACCCTTTCCAACACGGGGGCATCTTCACCCATCCTGAGCTGTGCCAAGGCATCCTTTGCCTCGAGGTCAATGCCCATCTGTTCGCCATCCTTACGGAAGGTTACTGTCGGCTCGCCACGGACATCGACGTCTGTTTTCTTGTCTTGCAGTATCCGGTCGCGGACCACTGCCTCGAAGCTTGAGTAGCTGCCGGACGGGGTGTTATCTTCGTTCGGGGATGCACTCTCGCTCGCCGCCGGCTTCAGCACAGCTGCTGCCAGGCTCAGCCTTCGGTTGAGGGCCTCCGGCGCCAAGCTCACCCTGCGGCCAAGGAACAGTTCGGGTGGAATGTAGCTGTCCCTCCGCTCTGGTCTCACGCTATCCCGGCGTGGCCTGAGAGCGACCTCGGGAGGCAGCAGGCTGCCTCGGCGCGTTGGAAAAGGAAGGCCATCGGGTCGCAGACTCTCCCGGCGTGCCGCGACAAAGCCTTCAGGAACGAGGCTGTCGCGGCGGGTGCCGGACATCATCTGCGACTGGAATCGGGGGCGCAAGCGGCGAGCGGCTCAGACGTCAGCACATACGACTCGCAGACAAGGGGCAAAGCGTGGCATGCACGGATGCAACGAGAGGTATCGCAGCATAAACCACATTCACAGAGACATGAAATGATTAGTGCAATGCAAGCAAGCATGCAGAAGCCCTGAAGCAGGCATGCGCCATGCAACTGATGCACCGTAAAGAAGCAACAACGTAAAAGTTGCAAAGACCCAACTTCAGGAGTAAGTGGAAGCTTGAAGAGATGGGGATGTCGGTGGAGCCAACGTTTCGACAAGCAGTCTTGTCATCAATGCTGCAACAGGCTTGAGGAAAGTGACTCCACTACACCCCATGTTCACAAATTTTAAATGTACAAGATGACAGTTTGATGAAGAACTGATGAGGATGTGACCAGGAACATACGATATGGATGCGTTATTTAACATACCAGCCATAATACAGTAGAACAGCTGCTTACTGAATCTTAAATTCACATATAAGGCGAGTAAACATTGTCTTGGTCTTATTACCTCTTTGACAACAGGTAACTTGCATAACGAAAGTTCATAATCGCTACGTTTTGTGAACATTTGCTGGAAATTAGAGAAATCTACTTCCACTGCATCTGCTACTGACAATGTGTCACACTGCATATGGACGGTGTATGCTGCTGTTAGAGTTAACCAGTTTGTACCTGCACTAACATGCAACAAAAAAGGCCTTTCAGCTTCATCATGAATGGTAGGGTACATTTCGCCTCGAGTATTCAGGCACTGCAATGATTAAATACGGAAGAACGGAGTGAAAAATGGAACTCGTGGCTTTATGACATGACCAGGCAGAAAGTTTCAGTCAAGAGGATGCAGCACTCAAAAGGTAGTAATGCTGTTCGATGTAATTACTCAGGCCTGGTTAGGTGTCAGATGTGTAATATGCTTCGATTTCGTTAGCACAATTTTAGTAAATTATGTCAGCAATGCATGCACGACAGTCATTCAAACGAGAATAAAGCAACGTTAAAAACTCCTACCAGGATCATGCTTCGCATCATGGTTGATCACTAGCCGGTGGTGCTGGCGCGGGCCAGCACAAACACAACACAAGTACACTGTAAGACTGAAACAAAGACAGAAAAAGACAAAAAAAAGCTGCGTCCGGAGACTGATCGCGATCGATTATACGTCGCACAACTATCGGAAGACTTGCGCTGCGCTCGTTGCGAAGGGCGTCGGAGGCAATGGGACGGGGGAGTGATATGTGTTGTTGCTTTAGTTTTTTTTTTTCGTTTCAATAGGGCGCGGACCGCAGGTGCAAGCCGCGACACGGGGGCAAGGGCGCGTCAACATCGGTGACGACACGCACCTTTGTCCGCGAAGCCGTACGTGTCAATGTTCACAGCGAGAACTTCATGCAATACACACGTGCGCTGATGTCGCGGAGCAATGTATCTCTATGAGACGACGGGCTCGCCATTGTACTCAATGCTCAGCCAAGAACTTTAGCGTTGGACACATCTGATCGGCACGAAAGTTTGGAGAACCAGGCTACACTCTAACCAGGCGAAACAGTTTAGTTGTAACACACACAAGCGCGCTAGACATGGTATACAAAGTTGCATTTTTTTTTTAGTTAGTCTGTAGTACTACCTGTTGTCGGTAGCCCGCGAAGCGAAGGAAGGTAGCGTCGCCGCATTTCCCTCTCGGAGACGCGAATACGATTTGAACATTTCTTGCGGGAGTATCTGTCAGGATCGGCGGAAGGCAAGCACAACTTTGTGGAGCTCGCGCTTTCAAGAATCACCTCTCCATTTCAAAGGGGCGCTGAGCGTACTCCTGCGCTGCGTTTCGGACGGCCCAGTGATGACGCCGCCACGCCGATTTGACAGCTAGGCCGCGCCAGGCTGCGTGGACACCCCAGCGGCGGGTATCCACCCCCTTGGAAGACGGCCAGCGCCCAGCGGACCGCGCCGCCAGCGCTCCGGAGCGGATGTGGTTTATGCACGCTAGGACGCCGCGCGGAAAAACGTTGCGCGTTTTTTTCTTTTTTTCCGCACGCAATGACATAATCGCAAGCGCCCAAGTGTGGCTGTATATGGTATTCCAGGAAATCTGCAATACGAAAAACAACCCCCTCGTCAAGACGTCGATAATGAGGGCGGTTTATTCGCGTAACGACTGCGTGAACTACGCTTGCATCAAGTGATCAGCGTCCACACGAAGAAACAAAAAAGAAACATTCATATCCGAGCCTTGAGGCGAAACTCCGCATTTTCACCGGGTCGCGATTGCTCTTACACTCTCCGAGTATGATTATGTAGCGTTACGTGTGAGAAGCGGTCAGCTTTTGTTCACGTAAGTGCGAGCATTCCCGCCCCACGAAAAGCAGGCAAGATGCAAGCCACGAACTCATTTAGAAATTCCCGCGTTATCGATCGCGCCGGGGTCAGAACCACGCGAATCAGCTCAGCGTTACAACCTCGCGCATGTAAACAAGAACCGAAACTAAAAATAATCCGCAATGTCAGTAATGCATATATATAACTAAAATGTCTTTAAAATATAAATACATACTTTAAAACGATTGTATTTATACAAAATATTTTAACCTGGTAATAAGTTTATTACAATTTTGTGCGCGCAGTATCAATTGGTGTAGCACCATCGACATCGCTATGTGTCAAGCCTTATGAGGATAGAGATCTCGTCGGCAGAGATATTGTGATACTTTTTCATGCGTTAATATCGCGTTTGTTTTCTGAATCATTCCGCCGCTGTGCCTTTTTCGTAGTGGAGCGAGCACCCGTAGGGTCCGATATAGGACAGGATCGCCTCAGTCATGTCGTCCATAGTAAGCATCCTAGAAGAAATGGGCTTCTCCACGGCAAGAGCGTAAGTCGTGATAGTTACACCTGTTCGCGATGCCGGCGTGACACGTTGTCTTCTCTTAGCTGACATGTTTTGTGTTCTTCAAACTTTAGGAAGAGGGCGGTGGAGGTCTGCGGTGACCAGAACGTCGAAGCCGCCATGGAATGGTGAGTGTTCTTTCTTCCTTGTCGTGTAGCGGGACGTCGCCGGGAGCTTCCCCCAAAACAATGTGCTCTCAGGTCTTAACACCGCCGGTGTTCACGGTTGTTTCATGTATGCAGGCTTCTAGCGCACGCGGATGAACCCATGGACATCGCCGAACCGGCTGAGCCTATGCCGAAGTCCCCTGCACCTCAAACGCAGGCCGGGAACGCTGCCTCAGGTGACTGCTCTTTGTGCACCGATGACTTTGTTAGCTATGGTAACTCGAACACGTGGTTAGCGAATAAGCCGATATCGCGCACAGAGGCACCCATAGTGCTGTTCGTAGAGACGTAGAGGTAAAATCTCGAATCACCGAGCCGTAGTGTCAAGCCTGTCATTAGCCGGATTCCGTCGATAAGCGGTTAGTGCGAAGTAATTGCCGCTCCATTTGTGTTGTTCTGAAAGCTTTGCAAACTATACTTTGGCCGGTAGCATGTTCTTGGCCGTGTTTACTATCGCTGGGCCGGTTAAGCGTGCAGCTGATTCGTTCTGATAAGACTTTTGCCTGCGCTTCGGCAAAGCAAACTTAAATGAAATTGTCGGAGAAGCCGAGGAAACAGACCACACTGATGATGGACGGCCAGCTTCGTAGCTAACTTGCAATCACTGACGCTTTGGCTAGATGGATGTCAAGTTCCGCAACACTCTCGAAATTCTCTTACTAAGACTACAGTTTTCAAATTCGCATAGGCGTTGGAAACACTGCTGTTCCGCACAAGTGTGGTAGAGAGTGTCATTCGATGAAGAGTTAGAAATCTTAAATTTTCATTTGACTGCCTTAGTACAAATATGTGCTGAAATGCATGTCACTAAATGGCAGCACCAATGACTGCATCAGGTGGAAACATCATTACTTGCTAAATAATTCACAATATTCTTGCATTGCCCAAGTCTCTTTGATAAAGCAGGCGGTACTATGTGCCTGGGTTGACAATGTTTTGGTAAGACTACCTCATCCATGGGCTGAATGTACATCTCGGCAAGCTTGTGCACCGACTCCATGCTCGGACTTTTTCTTGGGAAAAATTCAGAGGGTTCCATGCCTTTTCGCCATACCGTCAGACAGTGAAGCTCAAAAGTGTAAGTGTATACGTGGTTGGCTAGCAAGACCACATTGTGTTGTGAATCCACTGCTAGATTTGCAAAACATGCTTACACTTGATTGGGCAAAGTGTTATTATCATGATTTCTTCATTCCCCCTTATGGTCATGTGCTTGCCTAATGCCTCTTACTAAACCACTACTACTACAATGACTATGATGGCACAGGCTAGACAAAGTCATTCTCTCTGTAAGCAAAAATGAAACAATTTCCATTAACCCTCATTTAAGTTGTCCATTATAGGTGAACCATTAGCTAGTTAACACACACTAAGGAGACAAAAGTGAACACATGCTGCGGACACAAATTTGCTTCAGGCTTACCTTGCAAATGGCGACCAGAAACGGGGATGACACTCGTTCGCGCTCATAGAGCATTATCGCTTTTTCGTTGACTTTCTGATACGGCACAGAGAAGACTCTGTGTTGAGATTGTCAACAAACAGATGTTTCCTTGCAAGGGTTTCGATACAGTGTGACGGACAAGGCTTGCGAGCCAAAGGACTGCTGCGGGACCCATAGGCGCCTCTTGCTGATCAGAGGGCGCGGTGTACGTCATATCGAAATGCCAAGCCTCGACCATTAGACATGTTTCTTTGTTCCTGTGCTTGTACAAAACTGCGCATTCATAGAATTTTCGTGTGCGTTTACGCTCTCCGTAGTGTAAATATTGACAGATATACTTGCTGAAACGTCTCCTTTCTGTGCATCTTTCAAATGAAGGTTCTCTGGGTGCAGAGGGCACCCAAGATAATGGATGAAGTATATTGCCCTGTCCAAGAAATAATTGTGCTATCTAGGTATGACTAGTATTTCTGGCAAGTAGAGTATTTTGTAGAGGTTTCCAGTTTTGAGATTAACTGATGCCCTCATCACACTACCTTGGGGTATTGTGAGTTTTGGAAGTGCAACGTCGCTGGCGCACGGTTACTATTATCAGTTTGCATCCAAAAAGTAATAATTAAGTCTGCCACATTCATTGCATCACTTGTTCAAGCGACACTGCACAAAATTTTTGTAAAGTGACGAAAACATCGAAATCCTGCTCCGAAGTCTGTTTCGATAAACAGAATGCATCATTTTTTGGAACAGTCGGCTGTATCTTTAAAGGGTTGTCAGCGTGCGGTGGCTGTACGCCACCAATAGCTGCGACGTCACAGCCACCGTGGCGGGTGCAAGGTGAACGTGTTCCTGCCCTGCTATCCCTTCCCCACTTCTCCTTTACATCCCATACTCCCCTTCCACAAAATCGCTAAGAGGTGCCCTCCTCTTTTAGGGGGGTTATCCCACTCGGGAGAATCGTTCACTGATGATGTGCTTGGTAGTGAGCGTTAAGTGGCTCGACCTTTTGGCTTCTATGCTCCCCGTGGGACAATCTTTGTGCCGTGCTGGCATAGGGCGGTGTATGTAAATCATAATAAAACCTGCAAAAACATCATAAAATGACAAACCTCGCTTTATTCTGTTAGCAGTGCTTCATTGCATCAATGCTTTCAGCGCAATTTTTGTGTAGGAAAAACTTCGAATTACGCAGGATTGGCATGGTGAAAAAGCTTGAATTTTTTGCACTCCCACTGGCTCTTGGACTTTTTGCATTTTGCCTTTTGAACTAAGCACAGACTTGAGAGATTTTTTATTAATTTTTTTTTGGCAGAATTTGACAAAGAAAATGAGCCCACTCGGCGGCTTGTAGGTGTATTAATGAGGCCGTGGCAGGCGGGTTTTTCGCACAACGACATGTTTACAGAAAGCCAGAATTACGCGCTCTTTGCTGATAAAAAAATGCACTCACACTTACTAACACATCCAACATTAGACAACTGTCTCTGCCTAGCGGAAAACATATCCAGCAAACATCAAATAATGTGCTACCATCTAGGAAGCATTGTCAAGAACGACCATTTTCTAAGCGGCCTGTGATCTCCGGTCAAAACTCTTTTGGCCGCACCCACACAGCCGGTGGATCGCCGGCTGCGGAAGCCAATGGGTTCAAAAGACGCGGGTGAGAGCTGGCATTGTTGGCACGATTGTTTCCGGTGAAGTGAAACTTAACAGTCTTTCGTTTATGGTGCGGCTGCTAGACGCAGAAGCTTTTGAAAAACGCACTAAATTCAATATTTTCTGCTAGATTCTGTTCAAGCTGACAGTTTTGTCTACCTATATTAGTACCCAAACTACAAATTACAAAGAGGGTTCAGCTTAAATTGAGGACGACGCAGCGAGCAATGGAAAGAAAAATGGTAGGTGTAACCTTAAGAGACAAGAAGAGAGCAGAGTGGATTAGGGGACAAACGGGGGTTAAGGATATCATAGCTGAAATCAAGAAGAAGAAATGGACATGGGCCGGGCATGTAGAGCGTAGACAGGATAACCGCTGGTCATTAAGAGTAACTAACTGGATTCCGAGAGAGGGGAAGCGGGTTAGGGGGAGACAGAAGGTTAGGTGGGCAGATGAGATTAAGAAGTTTGCGGGTATAAATTGGCAGCAGCAAGCACAGGACCGAGTTAACTGGCGAAACATGGGAGAGGCCTTTGTCCTGCAGTGGACGTAGTCAGGCTGATGATGATGATTAGTACCCAACCTTTTGGTCTGGCTGAAACTCTCAGCCGCAAGAATGGAAAAAAAAAAGCATGCTCTTTTTATCAAGCTCTGACCTTGATGGAAAAAAAAAAAATGCTAGATAGTTCTTGATTGTGTCATGGATGGCTCTAGTATCTTTACCACCATCCAGGCTACAACCACTTGAAGATAAATGTGAAATGATAGATAGTGTAGATGCCGCATTTAGTTTCTTACCATCCATACCAAACATGCGTAAATTCACCAAAACAAGCATTTAGACATGGTTATTATGCATGTTACTTTGCTACTGTGACTTATGTATCTGTACTTTACGGACATATGTATTTGCTGGCTCAATTTGACCACTGGCTTCTCTGTGACGATGTATTTTAGAGTCTACCAGCAACCCTGAAGTGCAGAAAGATCACGCCGAAGAAAGCAGCAAGGAATCGATCCCGGAAACACCTGCAGCGGCTGCGGACGCATCCGCCAAAAGTTTGAAGTGTGACGAGTAAGTGGAACAAGTACTAGTACATTGTGCACTCTAATGCAAGACAAAAATTTACAGCTGTTCCAGTACTGTGAAGTTGAAAACCTGCGGCTGCATGTTCCGCGGTAGTGGGTCTCACGCAGTTTTTGCGTCCATTCGCGGGTTGGCGCTCCTTCAAATCTTGTTCTTCCTTCAAGCGAATAGCATGCATTCAACCCGTAGCGAGTCTCAAAAGCAGCGTGCTGAATAAGTGCGCTTGCGCAATCGTTTGGTCACGAGACAGAGGCGTAGTGACAGGTGGGAAATTCTGCACAGTGTGTCACGATACTTAAAAGCATGGAGAGCAGGTGATGTGTGATGGGCGCCAAAAATCATCATTATGCGTGTCTTATGTTTAAGGACGCCATCCGCCAGAACCCAGCAATGTGCAGCTTCACTGTACAAGTTCTGTGCAGTGTGTACGTAGGCTTGAAGTAATAAAAAAGTAGTCAAACAAGGAAGGTTGGCTCTGGCAACATTTGTTGTTTGACAATTTCTCATCAGTGTTATGTAGTATAAAAAATAAACTTGGTGGAGAAATAGAGAAGGCTATTGACTGGGTGTAATTGTAAAAGTTTTGGTTGGATGCATGGCTAGTGAATAGGAGTACATTAACGTCAAGCTTCATTTTCTCTGAATTTTCTTTCTTTATCAAACAGCTGTCAATCTAATAGGTTAACTTATGCACCATTAATTATATGAGAGTTGTGCAACTGATGAGTTCTGTTAACTTTTATTGTGTCCAGTTCGAAGCACAAACCAAATTATACGTGGCTTCAGATGCGAAAGTAGAGTCATCAGAACTTGGTGGGACAGTATCGTGGCTCCAGATGCCACTGATGTGTTTGTACAAACTATAATTGGTAATAAATTTATTTTATGTAGCATGAAATTTCTGCTGAATGATTGCAGAAATAGAATGCCACACATGGTGAGAAATATGAACCTGGAAGTCGAGCGGTTGAAGCCTCAAACATTTGTCGGGGCTGCATTCGATTTCGAGCTTGTTTTCGTTGTTAAAGGGAGGCCTTGCTTTAGAAACATGTTCCTTTACTTCTTAGCTGTTTCTTATGAAACCTTCACTGCTTATGGTAATATATTTACATTGTGATCTCAATATGTGGTTTTTTTCTAGTGCAATATTCAGTTTTTAAAATATCAATCAGTTTGTTTACCATGTTACGAGCAAAGCTTAGATTTAAGCTGCGACAGTCTCAAAGGCAATCAGCATATGATAATGACTTTGAATGAATACTCTATGCACTATAACACAAATAGCTGTTCTAGGTCCATTTCAGCAAAAGTATGGTATGTCGAACTTTCGTGAGCAAAATCCCTGCTTCGTGTTGACTCACTCGCAAAGGATGAATGTAACATAACTTTTGTTAAAATAGGTTTAGCACAGCCATTCTTGCTTTACTGTGTGCAGTATTCATTCCATGTCATTGTGATACATTGACTTGCATTATAACTCTTATAGTTTAGAAATAAATTTTGCTCCTAGCAATACAAGAACTATTCAGTATTACAAAAACTTTGTGTTTCATTACAACAATACGAATTGCCTGTTAGAAATAGGCCCATAACATTACCTAAGCTCTGACAGTTTCACAAAGATCTGCTCAAAAACAAAAAAAATGCATGTTTGTGATGGAGGGTCTCCTCTTCAGCCTGCAAAATTAATAAGAAAAATTGTGACTGAGCAAAATTTATGGATTGCTACCTGTCTCTATCGTGAGATGCAGTTTGCTGCGTTCTATGAAACAGTCACTTGATCCGCTCTTTTCAAAGGTGCGGCAAGCTCTTCAGGGGTGCGCTCGAAGCGCAGTATCACAGCGTCAAGTCTAAACACGAGCATTTCTCCGAGTCCACGGAGGAAATCAAGCCCCTGACTGAAGAGGAGAAGCAAGAACAAGCTAGAAAGTAAGTGTTATTCGCTTTTTTTGTTGCAGTAAAAGCTGGACGTTGGACAAGTTCATATTTATCGCTAAATTTCGGTGCACAGGAAAGGCAAGGACACTATCCCGCAGGGGACAAACGAGCGCTTAGAGGAGACACTGATAAGAGAAAAAAAACCATTTCTTTGTTTATGGAACCTCATCATAACAGAGTTGCAGCTTATATGAAACTCACTTCGTTATATCCAAAACTTTATAGTAAAGGTCTACTACTAACACTACAGCTACTGCAAGACTATTCTTTGTTTACTTCGTTCGTTATAACTGATATTTCGTTATACAGTTAAATCATTTTATAAGAGGCATACTTGGGCCGCAGTTCTTGTCTTTTATATGAGATGTCTTTTATAAGCAGGGTACCCCTAATGCATTTTTAATGAATCCGTAATTACTGTAGGCACACAGGTGTCTCTTATACTCATTTGTCTCTTATAAAGAGGTTAAATTGTATCTAGATTCGTTATATCGAGGTTTGAGTGTATTAGTAAATTACCCTCATACACTACCCAAAACACCTTGTTTTCCATGAGAAGATGCTTGGTAACTAGAAAAAGAGAGGGAAAAAATGCGGTTGGTGACACTTCCTTCGAGTTCCTGCACCACTCTTCATGACGTAATAGATATTGATGGCGTCTACTAGTGCCTATGTAGTTCTTAAGGGGAGACGCGGGTCGAAAAGTCGCGGTTTTCCAGAAAATTTTCGCTTTTTTTTTTTTTTTTCGGCTGTATTGGCATCCTTGGACTATAATCTATTACTTCTGAAAATATCAAGCTGAAATTCACACGAGAAATTATCAAAAAATGCTTCCAAGTGGGCAGCGGTGACGCGAGAAATGCGCGAAAGTCGCGAAAAACGGCGAAGTTCGCGTCGTCCTGTCGCGAAAACGACGCGTTGGCCGCCATTTGCAATCGTGCACGCATGCTGCGAAGGCCGTATCCTTTATAATCCACTAGTAGCCAGTCTCGTGCCTTCACGCAGAATAAACAAAAAACGAGAAAAACAACGCGTACGTCACGCGTTTTGAATATCGCGGCACACAGCGCGAGGCCGCCATTGGACGGCGGTGCGCTCCACGCTCCTCCCCCTCCTATCTCTCCGGCAAAAGAGCGAAGCCTCGGACGTAGCGATCGAGTTTTTCTGCGTTTCTCTGCATTTTAGCGTCATGGCAAGCCCGAAGAAGTGCAGTTCAGATAATCGAAAGTTCAGAACTCGCCACAAGTATCGAGGGAAACGGCGTCGGACGCTTCGCAAAGCGACAGCGAACGACGATGTCGCCCCCGACCAACGCCCCGACGCTCCGACTTCGGATAGGCCTAACACCGTCACCGAACCCTGCAACAGTGGTTGTAAAATAGCCGCTGCCGTGGAATTCGTCAGTGCATCCCAAAGGAAGATTGGATTCTTCGAGAGTGAACGTAGACCGGTAGATGCTGCTACTGCGAACATGGTGCTTTGCGAAATCGATGCGCTGACGGCACTTGTGGCGGGTGCGCAATGCCCATCCTGCCGCGAACGGAAGCTCGGCGTGCGAGAGGCAGCTGGAAAGCGCAAAGGACTTTCGGCATTCCTCGAACTGTGCTGTCAAAATTCTGATTGCCCTGAATCTGCACTTTCGTTCACGCACACGTCGAGACGTACTGCTTCGGCCGGGGACCAAGGAACGAGCGCTCGTTTTGACAGCGGCAGCTCGCGTGACAGCTTTGCTGTAAACGTGAAGGCAGTTCTGGCAGCACACGCTATAGGCGCAGGCCACGACCAACTTTCACGATTTTGTGCGATTCTCGGTCTTCCGGGCCCGATGCATCACAAGACATTCAACGGCATTTGCAAGAAGCTCCATGGTGCGGCGATGACGGCAGTGAGCAAAAACTTGCACCAGGCACGAAACATCACGAAGGACGCAGTCGGCGGCAGAGATGTGCCAGTCATGTTTGATGGCACCTGGCAGAAAAGAGGTCATAAAAGCCACAATGGAGTGGGCACAGTCGTGTCCCTGGACACGGGGCTCTGCCTCGATTTTGAAGTTCTTTCGAACTACTGCCATGCTTGCAGTATACACAGGGACCTTGGGGAGGATGAAGAGATATGGCGAGCTTTTCATCTTCCAGTTTGCCAAAAAAACACTGACTGCTCATCCCATGCAATGGAACCTGCGGCAGCTGTCAATATATGGCAGAGGACCTTGTCTTATGAAACTCCACTGCGATTCACCAGCTTCCTAAGTGATGGTGACAGCAAGGCCTACACTGCAGTCTGCGAGGCAAATGTATACTGTGACACCCCCATTGACAAAGAAGAGTGCACGAACCACGTTGCAAAGCGCTTGGCAACTGCCCTACGGAAATTGGCAACGCCACTGCCACGAGGCGAAAAACTGAAAGATGCGACAATAATAAAACTACAAACATATTACAAGATCGCCATCACGAGCAACAAGGACAGTGTCCGAAATATGTACACTGCCATATGGGCATCGTATTTTCATTGCTGCTCCAGTGATGGTGCCAGTAGCCACAACTTTTGCCCCGCGGGACCAAATTCGTGGTGCAAGCACAAGCGTGCGGAAGCACTGGGGGAGCCTGCACCACGCCACACCCCACTGTTGACGAAGGCTCAAGGATTGGCAATTATGCCTATCTACAAGCGCCTTACAGAGGAGAAACTCCTTATTCGGTGCCTTCATGGCAAGACACAGAATGCAGCCGAATCGCTGAACAGCAAGATATGGCTGCTATGTCCAAAAGCAAAGTTCGCCTCCAGAACAACTGTGGAGACCCACCGCTCTTGCTGTACTCTGGTACAACAAAGGCCACAGGGGCTTTGAAGAAGTGCTCGAAGGCATTGGAATTCTCCTTTCACAAGATCTGGCCACACATGGTGACCACTGTGACGTCATGCGCACCAGGAAGATGAACCTGAAGCAAACTGCAGAAGCGAGGGCACACCGTCGCAACACAGCGAAGAGAGCTCGTGTTGAGGACACTGACCGCAAGAGCCGTGAAGAACCAAGCTATGGTGCAGGGGACTTCTAGACACTTGCAGTGCATTCAAGGCAAGGTACTTTTCATTGTGCCCCAATTTGATGCAAAAAGAATGATTTCCTAATAAATGCCAGCTTTGCGAACTTTCAAACTTGTTTTTCTCATTTTCATTTTTTCTGACAGTTTCACGTTTTCCGGGCAGCCTTTTAGAAACTTATATTCATTGTATAGTAACGAAACTTGGCACACATATTCTTCAACACATGCAGAATGCAAATATCTACTCTAAATTGCAATGCCTATCAGCATTAGTTGTGAAAATATTAGCTTATTGTTTCAAGGGAGATTGAAAATAATAAGTCATTCAATACATTTTCTTTCTTGGTTCCAATATTTCTGTGACATATCTATATAGATATTTGCACTTTTCAATCTACCAAGAGTCAAATAAGATCAGACACAGTGCTTTTACTGATATGAAATCTGCATGAAAAAATATACTAATAACAAACTTTTCAAGTCTCTATTACTAGAAATAAAAAAAAAACTTTTTCGAGGAGCGTCTCCCCTTAACAGGTAAAGAGTGAAATGCATGACTTCTGAGGGGTCCAGGGACATAACATACTACGTTTCAGGAAATATCCCTGTACCGTTATGGCCAAAATATGAAAAAAAAAAATGAAATTTATGACGTCGCCATCGAAAATCACGGTGTTACTCGTAAAACAGAAATTGTTGACACTGACCTTCCCGTTTCAACCCTTTATAAGAAGGTGAGACACATCTCGCTTTTCTGTCTGCAGAAAAAAAAATCTTTCCCACATCACCCATTGCAATTAGCGCAATGCTAAGTCGCTCGTATCTTACCTAAGTCTTTCTAATCTCGAGGAACATACTTTCATAAGGCAGAAGTAGTGTTGCAGTGGCATTGAATTTGGATCAGTTCTGCATGATAGCTTCTGAATTTTTCTTTTCTTCAGGCAGAAAGCGCCTACCAATAAAAATGCCGTATAATTTCCTCTTTTTTTTTTTTTTTTTTTCAGATAGGTGGTGGCTTCCAGCCATCTCGTGTTCTTGCAAACTTGCACGATAACACGGCCGATAAATGCATTGAAGCAATCCCCCGCGGAATTGCAGCTCTCGTCCCTCAGTGTAATTGCGGATGTTTGTGCGTGCAAATATTTTTCTTGATACACGCACCTCTTGAAAAGTAGTTGTGTATGCAGAGTCGACAGCTGTCTACTTGACGATTTCAGCAAGCATGGGCAAATAAAAGGTCGGTTCATGCAGTAAAGTATGCATGACAGGAAGAGACCACAGTGCAACGAAGGCTGACGAGAGGAGCAGGGGTCGGTGACGTTCTACAGCTAGAATGAGCTCCGCCCAACTCTTTTCGACGCAACCTAAAATAGTGGTACAGTGGAACTCCGACTATGCGTCCCCTGGCTTCGCGACGACCTGCATTTTACGACGAATCGGTTTAGTCTCGGGAAAATCCCCATAAAAACAGTGTATTGAAAACCTCGATTATACAACACAGGACGACCCCGCATCTTACGACGACTCTCAGATTCCGTCAGAAAGAAAAAAATGCCTTTACTCGAATCACATGTCGAACAAAAGAGTGCAAAATATGAACTTCCGTACCCCAAGGAGGACTACAAGAAAAAAAAAGAGTCATCTTCATTGAATGAAAAATTTATTCTCCCGGAAGTTCATGCACTTCTACATACACCCCAATCACGTGCATACGTATCTGGGGTCGTCACCTAGTCAAGCTCTATGCACAGAGTAGGTTCAGCTGACCAAAAAGCTGATGTTTTCACACTTTCGGTCCACAGAAACATTTCCTGGTCGACATATGGCTGATCTCCTGCCTCTGTCACACTCGCAGTCACTGGTTCATGCACGCATAAGGGCATGACACAGCTGCTTTCGCCATGCGAAATTGCTTTCACTTGACGTCAACGTTCATAACAGCGGGCCACCCCTAGTTGCACTTCACGAGCCAACAACTACAATGCACAAGGCTCAGTCACGCACGAACGCATCATACATAAATTCGTTGTCCATCGCCATTAGTCAATTGCGATGCCACTGGGTCCAACTCTTCTAATGGGAGGCTCATGGTTTCATTTTCACTTTCACTCGCAGGTGATTTTCGGACTTTATTTATTGGTAGAAAGATGCGCGTTGGATTTGATTGTTTTTAAAGCTGATAATAAAGATTCGCTCGAACTTCTTTGAACTAATTATTGCTTCCCTTAGCTACCTCTGGCAACAATAATTTAATCTACCCTGATTGCAGAGGCAAAAAGTCATGTCATGGGCTTATTCAGGCAGTCTGTACACATTTTTTGGGTAAGGCTGAGTGTCTCGGTCTATGATCTTATTTTTTCGATTATATGACGGCCGGGTTATATGACGGTTTTGCGTGGTCCCCTAAAAGTTGTATAATCGGGGTTCCACTGTACACTCTGTGCCACTTGCCTCGGTCATTTTATCTCCAATACCCGTTGATGCCATTTTGAAATGGAGCCTGCATGAGTCAGTGGAACATTTACATTCCAATTTTTTTTCCAGTAAACTGGTTGATATGGGGGGTTTAACGTCCCAAAACTCAGTTCAGTAAACTACTGGCTTGATTATGATGAAACTTGTTTTTTACTATTTCATTGTACTTTATATCATTATACATGGCAGCCAGTGTTTGTCATGTCAAAAAGTAGGCTTAATTAAAAGAGGTTAATAATGAACCTGTGGTGGAGAAATTAACCTCAGTAGTGTTTTCAGAAGATCAGTCTAAACTGATTAACTGTTTCACTGTAGTGTCTTTTGATCTTTCAAACATTTTTTCTTGCTTTTTTGAAAATAACATCTATCCACCAGCAGTCTTTGCAGAGCATGTGCAAAATGAGTCATGAATTATAAAAACGACAAGCAGAAAAAGAAAGTAAAAACCTCATGCTTACTTCTAGAATGCAAATCTTTCGTGACTGAGTAAAATGGGAAGTTCACGGTTACATTTATTTGTGTGTATGTTTTTTTCTTTTTTTCGTGTGGAACACCTCAGTTACTTCACATGTTAGTTTATCTTTATGAGAAAATGCAGTGTCACAGTACACACGGGCTCGTTTGTCATCTGCACTGTGTCCTTGTCTTCTGGGAGATGAAATTTTGCGATGGACGTGCCTTAATGTCCGTCCTGAATTTCTAACCAATGAACCCACCTGTAATGATGCCAGTTTTGGCAATCCTTTGAATGCAACAGGGAACAATAGCAGTACTGTAAGCTTGAGTGAGAATCTTTCTTTTGTTTCTTTCAAGGATTTCCAGTTGAGCTCTTACTTTGTTTTGAATATTCATTTTTCTGGGCGGGGCTGCGCACCCAGGTGGTGCGCAGCCATGGCTTTGTTATTGCTAGGCAGTGGAGTGGAGGTTTTTTTTGCAGACGGTGGGCGTTTTACCTCGACCTTCACTCATGATATCGATGGTTCTGGTTCAAGATATGGGTTACGTTTGATATGTATGATGTCGTAGCATAAGTTTACCTATGATAAGGAGGCGTTAGCGATCGAGGTAATGCATGAAAAATTAAAAATTAATCAGACGACTTCATCGAAAGGGCGGACTGTTTCACTATGAGCAGCAGCTGAGATCGTTGCGGCACCTGGTGGAGCAGACCTCAAACAAGTGCTTCCTTCTGTGTGGCCTCTGAGATTCGCTTTGGCCATGCAACAAAGCCACAATGTTAATTTGAGGAGTACGCCAAGCCATAGAAATGCCGACGTGCGTGGGTCATTCATTACCAGACAGCGAAGTTATAAACTAGCGTCCCTTCAATTTTTTTTTCGCCTTGTAGATTGGTTTACAAGCAGGATTATATTACTTTTCACGCTAGAGGTTCATGTTTTTTTTTTTTTTTTGTATTGAGCACTCGTAAAGTTTCGCTTATCGTTTTCATCGTTAACTGTCCAGGCTGGAAGAAAAGATACGGCAGCGGCGGCTGGAGCGGGAGGAGAAGGAGAAGAAAGAAGCCATCGAGCGGGAAAAGGAGCGCCGAAAGTTTGGCCAGGAAGTTGCCACAACTCGCCAAAAGTGAGCTCCATCATTACTTTCTACTAGAGGTGTGTAAATAATTGAAAGTTTTGAATAATGACTCGAATAGTGCTGTATTCAATTTAGTATTTGAATTGAATAGTGCGTATTTGAAAGTATGTGGAATACCAAATATTTTTCCTCTAGATAGAACCTTTGCAACGGCTAAAGCTCATTCTTCTTCGCTAAAGGGATCTGCACGCAGATCCAGGTTTTACAAAGCTACCAACACTATATTGAGTGCCGGATGTATGTGTTTCTTCTGAAACTTCACTCTTGCTCGCTTTTTACTATGCTGTAGCTGTATCGGATCAATCAGTTCCTGTCCTCATCTTGTATTAACTGAAGTTAAAGACTACGACTGTTTCCAGCTTCGTTACTAACAACAAACGCAAGAGTTGCGTTTATGTGCCATAATTACTCGAATCTAATGTGCACCTTTTTTTTTTCGGTTAAGCGAGTCTATAAATTGCATTCGCATTAGAATCGAGTATGAAAAAAAATGAATACGGTCATTCTATTGCCATCGGCATTTCAAAAATGGCCGCCTCCTGCGCGCGTTGGCCATTTCCGCCATTGTGTTTCCCGTGTGCGGCACTTCGTACATGTGCTGAGAAGTTTGTCATCTTGTAGTGCATTCACATCCTCGTCATAGAAGGGCCGACTCCAAAGGCTTGGCGAGTGCACCACGATGCCGCTTTAAAAAAAAAGTCATCGCGTGTGCAGAAACGGGCGGAAATCGGGCCGCATCGCGGTCGTTCGGAGTTCTCGAAACGTGCGTGCGGGACTGGCGGAAACAAAAAAATTCCGCCATATCCACGAAGTGAATGATGATGAGTGAGCGAAGCTCCGGAGGTAAACCTGGTAAACCATGAATCCTCTGTACATTTTGCCCACTCGATTTTATTACATCGCTCCCCCTAGCGTACGTCGCCGCACTAAATCGAACGATTGCCTTCAACTAATGACACACGCCATATGTGACATCATTCCTATTTTATAAGATCTCGCGTCTTTCATCAACTACAAGTACCGTTTTCTAGTTTATAACATCTTGCATCTTTTCATCATCAGCTACAAGTACCACCATCTAGTAAACACTACAAGAACTAAACGAGAGGTGGCCACATACAGGAGACGGTAACGCCATCTAGTGAACACTGCAAGAACTAAACTAGAGGTGGCTACATACAGGCTACAGGGGACGCACAGCCCACGCCCTAAGGAGTTTCGCCCCTAAAACAGAAGATTGTCGACAGGAAAGCTTCACATAAAGGCTTCAGCGCCCCACAGCAGGGTCGGTTTCCGCAAATTGAAGAGCTGCTTGTCGAGTATGTGCTTGAGCAGCAGCAGCACAGCGTCCCGTGACGACAGATCTGCTCCAAACGCTGGCTATGCATTTAGCCTTAGAAAAAGAGCTAACGCGTAGCGAGCTCAATTAAGCATGTGCCGGCTAAGTAACTTTATGAAGAGGAAAGGCTTTTCTCTCCGAAAGCGAACGGGCATATGCCAGAAGTTGCGGGAAGAGTATGAATAAAAGCTTCACAGTTTTCAGAGGTTCGTCCTAAACTTCCGGCACAACGGCTACCTGCTTGGGCAGATCCGGAATGCCGATCAGGCACCTCTTTACTTAGACATGCCTGGCACCACAACCGTCGAGAAGGGGGCGAAGCAAGTTCGCGTGCTGACATCCGGCCATGAAAAAACTAGTGACGACAATGCTCTGTTGCACGTCAGATGGGCACAAGCTTCGCCCGTACCTGATATATAAACGGAAGACGTTCCCAAAGGAGTCGTTTTCCCAAGTGGTGTGATCAGTGCGGGCCAACGAGAAAGGTTGGATGACGACGGCCCGGCGCCTATTTGGGCCTGCGAGCGATGCTCGTGCTCAACGCGTTCAGGTGCCATCTCGACCACCGGATCAAGGACAAGCTCGCTGCGTGCAATACGGAACTTGTAATCATACCTGGCGGCATGACGTCACAACTTCAACCGCTAGATGTCTGCCTGGACAAGCCGATGAGGGACAAGATTCGGGCACTCTACACCGACTGGCTGATCAATGGACCACACGATTTCACGCCAAGCAACAGGATGAAGCACGCCTCTCTGCGAGACTTTGCTGCATGGGTGAAAGATGCGTGGTTTGCAATACCATCAGCCATGGTCATCAAGGCATTCAAGAAATGTGGCATCTCGAATGCCATGCACGGTATCGTGGATGAGATGCTTTGGGCCGTTGACAGCGGTAAGAAGTATTCCGACAGCGACGAGGACTGACCTATTACGCGACTCGTAATGCCGCCGTAGTGGTCACAGTCAACAAGCCAACTGCTTGACTCTGTGTTTCATCTTTCGAAACTTCAGTGCATTGAAACCCAAATACTTGTTCTTAATGTGCGAAGGCCGACTCTTGCGGACTTTTTTTTTTTTCTCCTCCGTCATGGAAAATGGGTGAGCGTTACAATCGATGTTCAACTTTTTTTTTCCGTTGTGAAAACCGGGTGCGCGTTACAATCAAGGGCGCGGTAGAACCGAGTAAATACGGCAAATTGCTCTTGCAGACGTAGATTTAAACGCCCAATATTACCTGTTTTCGGTGCACAGGCCATGTTTTGACACCAGGTTGATCTGCTTCATTGCATGTTTAGCTGTATCTGCGATGTTTGGTTAAAAATTTGGTTTTCGAGCAGTGTTCTATACAGTCTAGTGATGTTGCTTTCTTTTTTTTTCGCCACGCCAGGATCGAGGAACAGGAGATGCTCAAGTTGGCCGAAGAAAAGAGGAAGGAGAAGATGGAAGCCATGCTGGCCAAGTAAGCCACAACTTGCATATTTCTTTGAAATATTCCTTATAGTATGGCCGTTTTCTGTCCACTCTGTGGTCTCTGGAAATGAAGTAGAAGCAAGGATAGTCAGCAGGCCTTTGTGACACTCGTATTTTACATACGAGAGGAGCAAAGTCTGCGTCAGACAACTTAAGTTCCCGCAGCCTTTGGGTAAATGGCAGTCTATGCATGTCGACGAGGTATCGCGAGGGGACGGGGTTTGTGATCAAAGTAAAGACTAACCTTATTAACTTGAACATCAGTGGGATAGGAACTTCATTTCAATTGGTTGGAGCCTCGGCTAGGGGTGATGGGGGTGTCTCTTTAAAAATAGTGCTCTGTTTCACACGTCAGGTGCAACGCTGTGGAAGTTCGGTCGGCAAGATGCATAATTAGCAGTGCTTCACTAGGTATAACACCTGCTGTGTGGGACACCTTCTGTGTGTCTCACGGTCTGTTTTTAATAATGTGAACGATCGCATGAGCACAAGCTGCTGCATGAAGCATAGCCACTTTTTGTGAAATACCAAAATGAAATTCCAAAAAGATGAAAATAGTAAGAAGCTAAGCAATTCAGCTGTATAGCAGCTGCCATGTAACTGGTTGTGTTTGTTTGGAAGGCATCAATCATCTTTATTTATTGCTGCCCTTGAAACTGAGAGAACAATATATTGAACTATTTCTTTATGCAAACGCACCTGCGGCAAGAAAAAAAAAAGTGTTGCTTGTCTACACAGTGTTTCATCTGTTGTGTTAAACAAAGCTATAAACCTTATCATAAGAAAGTCAAGTCTGCCACGAAATAACTTCGTTATATTCAAAATTTTGTTATAAACACAGTTTTGTAACACTGTCTCTATGGCGAGACCATTCGTCGTTTACATCGTTATAACTGATAATTGATTATAGTATCCGGATTCGTTGTATCGAAGTTTGAGTGTATAGCTGAACAGTGTGAATACACTGGAACCCCCGCTTCACACTGGGGTAAATTGTGCTCTACTACTTCCAGGTTTTTCATACACTTTATTTCATTCTTTCATTGCATTCAAACAGGAAGAAAGTTCTCGAGGACATCGAAAGGGACAAGCTGGAGAGGAGAGAGAAGTTCAACATGGGAGGAGGGGCCCCTCCGGCCGCCGTGGCCAAGCCTCCCACTCCGGTCGCACCCGTGGAGCCAAAGAAAGAGTACGACCAGTGCAAGCTTCAGGTACGCCGCTTCGAGTGCAGCTGCTAATCTTTCAATGTGCGCCTGCCCCGTGACGGATTACAGGTTTTGCTAGATTCCGACTCGCACCTTTATCCTTCCAGAAGGGTGGCTTTGAATGTTGCATGCTGTATTTCCACGTGAAGCCAAACCACATTTCGTGTCCACCACGCTGGTGTAGCGGTTACGATGCTCGGCTGCTCGCCCTAGGGTTACGTATGCGTTCCCAGCTGCAGCGGTCGACTTTCGATAGGGGCGAAATGGTAGAGGCCCGTGTACTGTGCTATGTCGGTGTATGTTAAAGAACACCAGGTGTTAGAAATTTATCGAGTTCTCTACTGTGGCAGCGCTCATAATCTCATCGTGGTTTTGAGACAGTAAACCATAGATATTGATAAGCCATGTTCAATGACATTGTAGGAAATTACCAATCTGCCTTCATAGCGGAAATGCCGCTGCCCTGCAAAGCTGGAGCTGACTTTTTATGGGAATCAGTCCAAATTGTCCGGATATTGTTGTTATGGATGGAACGGTGGCTCCGTTTATTCTGTGCTCATTCTTCGCCTCGTAGGCGACTAATTGAGTGACAGCACTGCCTTTTTTTTTGTTGCTCTTTTCATTTGCGACTGCCAATCGAGGCTTGATCAGTCACGTGCGGCACACTAGGATGTTTTATTGAAGAACATGTACAATATTGCACCGCTGTACTGGTTTGAGAACGACACTGTGGTCTTTCTTTCAGATACGCCTGACGAACGGGCAGACGCTGACACAAACCTTTGGAGCGCACGAAGAGCTGGCAGCGGTCCGACTCTACGTTGAGATGAACAGGACGGACGGCGACCTTCCGTTCACCCTGATGACCAGCTTCCCACGAAAAGTGTTCTCCGACGAAGACTACGGCAAGCCCCTCAATGCCTTGGGTGAGTGCGCTTGTGTGTGGGAATTTCGTGATCCAAATTACAGCTTAGGCCACTTATAACCTGCTTACAGCGCCAGACCGGCTATGATGCGGTTTTTTTCTGACTGCTGTTCGCCCTCCCATCGAACTCTTATGTTTATGCATACCGTTCATTATGCAGTCCACCAAAATAAAAGACTGGTTATAATGCAGCTGTTGGAAAAATTCTCAGAGGAGTTTCCAGGGAGTGAGCGTGCTTCTCAGTGAAGGTGCGGTGGCGAGGGAGGGGGCAACAACAGCGTTACAATATAGGAGGGGGCGCAATGAGAACAATTGAAAATCGGAAGGGGCGGGGGTGTGGATGGACAAACATTTAAGTGGATTTTAGGTCATGGCTGCGATTCATTATACGCCCTGCCTATATCCAAGTTGTCTTCGGCCACCCTGGCACACTGGAATCGCAAGGGGTGATTACATTTCATCATGCGTGCTCAAAGTCATGATGCACGCTGACCTAACTTCTTTCTCCCTTGCTATCACGTGTGAAGGCTGAAAGTGCTTAGAGCATGTGCAATTTTTTGTAACTCTACTCGTTCTCGACCCATCGAAGAGATTTTCGTGGCAGTCGATTCATGAGGCAAATGAGCTTCGATACTGAAGTTGCTCGACGATTGCTTGGGGAAGTGGCTCATGGCCCCTTCAAGTTATCTTTTTCAGCGTTGCTTTGGCTGTGACAAAAAGATGTCGCTTATGTGCGGACTCGGGGGGAGTTTCGCAACATCATACGCCTGCATGCCGGGACACTCTACCGATTTGTCCACAAGACTCTCAACTCTCACTTTTCTTACCGATTGTGTAATCGCGGCTATAAATCTGCCGATAAATTGCTTCACCCAAAATTCGAGAAAAAAAAATTATAATATTGGTATGATCGTGTGTAATTGCGAGATCGCTGCATCAGCATTCCATCGTGCCCCCCCCCCCCCCTTGGTGACTCTGCAGCACACAACCACTTCTGTGGCTACCGCACTGCAGTCGTCAGGGCCGTACCCAGGAATTTTTTTCGGGGGGGGGGGGGGGGGGTTGCGTGTAGAACGGCTGCCATTTTTTAAGATTTATACTAGCTTATTTTCGTGAATAAAACAAGTACATCGCTTACTTGTAATAATTCGATGGTACTTTTCAATTATTTGTACCCAAATAAAGAAATTGGTATGTCAACCTCAAATTCTGGTTAAAGCAAGAAATAAGTTTGGACAATAGCACCACCAAAGCCTGGGACACCGCGACCAACGGCTCCTGATGAAGTAACACAATGTAACCGCGGTATAAAAACGGTATGTATGTGTTACAAGCTGCCACTCTAGCTTCGCCAGCGCGAAGTCGGCGACGGGAATGGCAGCAGGTTAGGACGTTCCGTACGTAAGCAGAGACAGTGAAGAGATCAGAGACGTATGTGGGGAAAAACAAAGCTCTAGTGATATTGCAGCACTGCAGAGGAATCTAGGAATATTGCAGAGGAATCTAGTACAACACTTAATACCAACTAACAAAATACATATAAAATCAATAAATCAGCTTACAAGAGAGAAGTATTACAAACTACACAAAACTAACCAACAATAAAACTACAGATGAGAAACTCCGAAGGTATAAACAGGTGAAGGGATACCTGTGATGACCGGCAGCGTTGAGTCCATGACGATCGGATGCGAGAAGTCGGAGAGAGTTCTGGCACAACTGCGATGTCGGCGGTGTTGCAGCGCTGGTGTTTCCGGGAGGCTAGTGCTTGAAGCCGATCTCGGGCAGGTTGAGCTTACTCGAGATTCAAGTCCCGATGCCTACGTTACAGACGTTAATTTCGCGTCACAACTAGACGAATGGCTAAGTTTAGGTGGCCAGCCGACACGGAGCCACAACCACTTAAGCGATACTTCTTGATCTCCTTCTACACCATGTTGCTCAGCAACTAGACTGCTTAGCAAGGCGAAATCCTGCTCTTAAATTGACCTCCGTGTCCCCTGATTCTCGTCCTCGGGGAAAAGAGACCTCTACATGGGTCCAATCATGCACGTTTCATTGTTAGAAACTCCACCCTAAAAATATATTGACCACGTCCCTTTTTAATTAGGAGAGGGTCCTCAACTGAGCGAGAGTGACAGCCTGTTGGGGTTTTCTCATACGGCTTGTCCACAAGCAGTTTTGCCCGTGGGAATCGTCAGTTTCCTTGGTTTCAGCCGGTGGGTCTTGCAGTCTACAGCTAGTTCGGGGTGCATCGCGGCCTTTGACGACCCTGCCGCCGCCGCCGTAGGTACAAAGGATCAAACATCGGCGACTAACGTCTGAAGAAGAACACCCCATTCAGTACTTCCCTGCACTAAAGGCCAGTCTTTTCATGAGTGAACGGTTCCACTGGGGGAGTGCACTGGGGGAGCGGGGGAGTGCGGCGCCCGTTAATTTGCCGTTACGCCGGGTCGCAAAAATGGCAGTCCGTGACAGCATGTATGCAAGCAAACAAACAAGTCGCCCGACATTCCGATCTTCTTGTTACCGTTCGCACATTCTGCTTGCTGGATAGTTTCCTCGTAATTGCGAAAGGATAGAAGGGTTGAAGCTTGGGCTAGCTGGGTTTAGCTTTTAATCGACTCTTGAAACATAGAGGGAAGTTTAAACGAGGAAGTTTTTCCTTCTCGGCAACTTGCAAAATTCTGTGTGGACTTGTTCTGGGGTCACTTGAAGTTCTCAATGGGGTCTGAGCAGTGCTAGTCCGGTCAATCTGTCGTTCATATGATTTCGAATGTAGCTCTTCAGCCTTCTCAGTGTGGAAAAAGTCCGTTCCGGGGTCGACGTCGGCACGGGTAAAGTCGCCAGAATAGAAAGTAGGCTGTGGATGTTCGGAAAAAAGCCGCAGTTGCACATCTCTAAGGCCTGTAAAGCACAAGATGGGCGATTCTTTTCTTCGATCTGGCAGCATTTGTTCACCCACAGTGTGAACTCTGCTTCGATGACATTAGCCGAAGGAATGTCGCCAAGGTAAAACTGCACTGCATCATCAATATCAGAAAGGCTAGCCGATGCGCAGAATTTCGGCAGCAGCATTTTAAGGCCAACCACGACCTTCTTATGGGCATCGAACCGGTCTCTTAATTGATTTTCGAAGTCAGCCAGCAAAGGCAAATACACATTCCTCCGGTAGTACTCTTCGGGAGTAGCAGAAGGTACGTTGCTTCTTTGCATCTGCCTTCCAGTGATGTGTGGTAGGGCCATCTCAACATTTGTGATCTTCAGCAAAGAGAGCGACTTCAGAAAAATCTTATCAAATTCCGTTTCCGCACTAGCCCTTTTTGTGGAAAGAACGTCTATAACATTCTTTACGTGATCGCACGCTTGAGCCAAGTCACAGTCAATTTTTTGAAGAAACTTGCAAAGTGGCAGTGTCAGAGAGATAAGGTCGCTACAGATCTGAAGCGAAACGACAAACTCGGGCTTTGTAATGGCATTGAGCAGTTGAGAAGCTTTTGATGAAGTATCAGATGACGCGGCCTCTTCTTCCAAATATTCGAGGAATCGAACAATAGGCACGTACAGTTCAAGGAAACGCTGAAGTGCATCGTGACTCTCTACCCACCTTGTTTGGCAAAAGGAGAGAACTGATTTTATTTTTTTTTGTGTTAAATCTTCTACTTTGTCTCGCAAGTTGGTTCGTCCTCTGTGGCGAAGCTCTCACAAATGTACAGGTTGAAGATACAGTTCCCAAACAGTTGCGGATGCTGGGGAGTTAGCATGCGTGAAGCAGAGCAAGGTTCAACGAGTGGGCGCTACAATGCACGTACAACGCTTTGGGCGCTGTTTGACGAATGAAGGCTTGAACACCGTTAAGTGGCCGCTCATTGATGCCGCGCTGTCGTATCCTTGCCCGCAAAGTAGGTTCAGGTCAAAGCCATGACCTCTAAGGCTGTTCAGGATTGTGCTCGCCAGCGCCTTGCCAGTGAGATCGTACTGGCAAGTCATGGGTAAACAAGTCATGGGTAACGATCTACCCAGTGAGGTTGGAACTTAGATTCCTTTTCCCTGTGGCTGGATAATCATAGTTAGCTGGAGGGGTCCACGGATTGAGCAGCAGCTTCTCCATCGTCTCTGGATCATTTACATTATTGCTTTTTGAGACAAACAGTCCCAAGTCGAAAATATTCGCACCCGTCGCACAGAGGGAAGGCGAACCAGAATGTGTAGGTGCCATGCCACTCACCTTCCTTGGGCATTGCCCAGTGGTAAAGGCGTCACTTTGCCCAGCGTTGACTGTAGAACAAAGATCACTTAGAGTTGCACTGGGGCCACCATCATTTTCCGGCGGCGCATGATTGTCCTGCTTGTGTTCGTTCTCAGGTGATTCATATAAACCGGTGCATTCTCCTGAGTCGCTACAGAAGTTCGGACGCGCTTGGCTTTCCACCAGTGCTGAGGGGGGAGAAGTTTTATCCTTCGAAGGAGGCGGTTCTTCTCCGTCCGCTTCATCGGTTCGAACTTTCTTGAAGTAAGACGCAAGACTCCTTTGCTTCGTTGTTGCAGAGTGTCTTTTCACTTTGCTGCCGCAATCCTGTGCACGCACTCAGAAGTGGCCAGTGGCTCCAAAAAGATGTTTGCGACTGCTTCGACTGCCTGGCATGAACGGCGGGCAATGTTTTCATCCTCTCTTATCCACTTTACAGTGGCTAGAATGTAGAAGTGTGATGAACGCGCCGGCTCCCGCGTGGCACATGTGTTTTCTGAACGCCGCTACAGCTGGTGTGCATGCAGGCCCATTATTGTACTCCAGCTGCAGCAAACTGGATTAACGCTACTTAGAGACCTTTTCACAGAAGACTCCATGGGCACTGCATACTCCCCTTAATATACGTGAACTCCCAAGAATGCACTGCCGAGACATTTGCACTCCCGTGGTACAGTCCAGAAAGGAGGTGTTGCTCCGTTCCTGTGAAAAAGTCACCTTTTCGCAGACAGGCTCCCTGGGCGCCTGCATAATTCTCTCTGGGCTGCGCTAATTAAATAGTTGTGACCCCCCAAAAATGCACTTTGTAGGCTGTGACGTCAGCCTCTGTACTCCCGCGCGCAGCCCAGCTTGGCGGCATTTTTTTTCTCCTGTGAAAGTTGACCGCTGGTGCCAGATTGTGTGCCGGCTGTATCCTCGCTTTGTGCGCTTTGTAGGGAGGTGCATATACCTTCTGTGTACAGAAGAGGTAGATTTCCTTGCGTGCGGTTAAGGTTGTTCGAAGTTGCTCGGATATGCCGGTCTTTCAGTAGATGTCATCTTCGGTGATTCGTTTCGGTGGCGAGGACTACAGTTTGAGAAATTGTCCTGCAACCTGCGTCCTCGGAATGCGCCGCTGAGTTTTTCCGCTTAGGGGTTTCGTTCCCTGGCAAATTTGCGCACGTCGTGCTGGTGTTGCCGTTGCTGTCGAACTGTTTACCTTCACAGAAGTAGACGCGCTTTTCGTAGGAACCCAAAGCCGACACGTGCGGTCCGCACAGATGGATAACTTCTCATAACTTCTCCAGCGGCAATGCACAAGGAAAGCATCTGGAATCAATAAAGGAGCTGCTATGGTGTGAAAGAGGAAAAAAAAAAGAAGACTCGAAGGAACGCGAGAGCGAAGTGCAAAGCTGTACAAATAGGGCAGGTGCGCGTGCGGGAGAGGAAGCGCTGACGTGTTCTGGTAAAAGGGTAGGTTTGAAGAAAGGAAGAAGAGGGAAGCAATGCCAGGAAAGTTGCAGTGAACTTTGGCAGCTGGTGGTCGCTGTGAAGGCGTGTAAATATTTTAGTATCAAAAATTTCGGGGGGGGGGGGGGGGGTGCTTAAAGGTGACTGAAAAATACATATGTACTAGTAGCCAAACCCAAATACATAGCACATTTGGAGCAGTTTAAATTAGCTAAGTACCAAATGATGTCTATCGAGGCATATAGCTCGTGTGGCACTTAGAAGAGAAACTGGGCGCTGGCGAGTGTGCCAGTGGATTCGGAACTGACAATACAAATCGGTAAGTGGTGTGGCAGTAGCAGGGACAGTACTACAAGGAAAGCAACGCACTTAGTTCTGTAAAGTTCGAAACAGCAATTTAGTAAGTCGCATGCCGCCTGCTGTGTACGTTTAAAAAACGAAATAAGCGGATCACCATTTATTGTGAGGGGAAGTACTAAGAGGTCTTACTTCAGTGCTTCGAAAATGAGATAAGTTTATATCTTTTATTTATTCAGCTTGGAAGTACCAACTACCAATACAAGTTTTGTCGAGGACACATTTGCTATCACGAAAACAGCCACAGGCCATGTCCATTTCAGTTTTCCGAGAGGAGAGAGAGCCATTTTCGGCTGTCTACGAAGTACAAGTGCCCGTGCACAATTCTGTGCTGTAGTATTTGTGTCACATGTTCAGAAGAGCATCTGCAGTAAATTCTGAGTAGGTTCCAAAAGTGTTCTGAGCCCGTTTGAAGCGACCATTTTATGTAAACACAAATTTGGTTCTGTGTTTAAAAAGTGTTGCAGTGACCTCTTCAATTGACCTTATGAGATACGGATAGTTTTGTTGACTAAGCAAAGGCATCGCATAGTGAGTCTCCCAATTTCATAAGCTTATAGATTGGCAGGAAACATTGAAAAGTCGAGTTACCATTCTTCAGAGATTCTTGTAATTGATGACAACAGTTAAAAACAACGTGATAAGGTGCCGGCTTCTATGTTTTCATTCTACACATAAATGCTGGATGCACGTGACGAAATATAGTGCTCTGGCACATTTTCATTCAAGCCTATCACGCAAGATTTGCTTTAGCAAGTGCTTTATGTTTGCTCAACAATTCAGTACTCTTCTGTCCCACTGGGGGTTGCATATCTTCTTCAGGGGTGCAACAGCTGCGCCAATAGCGCCAATTTGATGCAGTCCCCCATTTTTGCACCTAGCTGCGCCAAAGCTACGAAATTGGCTGAAGTTGCAGCCACGCTGTGCTCCAATCACCGGCCAGCCTCAAAATTTTCTCAGTTGCGCTAATTTCCGCAAAAGACGTAAGCGACGTAGGCCACCGGTTGTTAGCGTCATCAATAAATTCAGAGATCCAGGCAGTAACCCTAGCCTACAGTGTAAGACATATATTCATTAGTTGAGGGCACTTGCGAGACGCGATCGACCAGATGAAGTGAAAATGCTGGGCGCACATTGGTCCGCTGACCCCTGCAAATATTTATCGGCGGGAGGCGCAACTTTATGCCAAAAATGCGTTGCTGTAGTCTGCAAACGAGGTTATGGTAGTTATATGGCATCTTAGCGAATAGAGCTAGAAGCGCATGGCGCGTTTTCTGCGTGCGAACATAGTCGACGTGCTGCGAACCACGTTGGTCACCATACCAACGGCACATAAAACTTTTTGTGTTGAAATTGCGTGAGCTGCATCATACAGGCGATAGATATCCGGGGATAAAACGCGCCTTGCTAACGAGCCAAGTTGTACCCTAAGCCTATTCCCATTGTGAAGGGGGGGAGGGGCATAGTGGTGTTTGAAAATTTTTTGGCCTTGTTCTATTTGTGCAGAATGCTGCTTAAGCTACCTTTGCCGCAATACATCGGTGCCATGCAGGAAAGCGTATTATGATTTGGAAGCGGCTGTTAGCACTAGCCACTAGACACTGCACAGTTTGTTCAGTTATTCATGCGTGTATATGCCGCGTAATTGTAGCCTGTCAGGTGATAAACCAGCCAAACCTCTCCAGCTCTCCATAAAATAATTCTCTCTGATATGATTGCTGACGTCTAAAAAAGTTACTGTAGATCATTTGTAGCAGTGTACGACATATCTGCTGCCCTAAACAGTTGACGAAACGTATGTTGCTTTTTTTTTTGCGACCTCCACTTTCTAGTTTTACTAATCTCCCGAATCTCAAAGTTGCCAGCTTGGAAGATCCACATTTGAATTGTCAGTCTGTCAAATGATTTGAGATGTGTGGTAAACGCATTGGACTTTACCACATGTTTGCTGAGTGGGGTGGTTTAAGATACTACTTTTGTTGAAATAGCAGTAATCGTATTAACTCTGCATGATTTAGGGGAAGTTGAATGGTTGTGCTTTTTTTTTTTTCTAAGTGTAAGCTTTCTTTTTTATACTGCTCCGAATTTAGGTGTTCCATGATAAAAAAAAATGAAGGTTTTATGCCGTATAACCTGCTCCGAATTCGGATTTTAGTGCTCCAAAACTAATATTTTGCTGCTCTGAAAATTGCTCCAAATTCTATTTTGGCTGTTGCAAGCCTGCTTCTGCATCATTCTGCTGTCAACGTTTACTACGGTATTGCACTTATATTTTTGTCAGCTGTGGGGCGTGCGTGAGCAAGTGCATGTCTAATGATAGCAAGGGTGCTCTCAGGAGACACTGATGAGTGCCAACTACATTCGGCGACAACTTTTCATCCTTCTCCCAGTAAATCCACAACAGCGACGGTATTTTCCACGTGGAGCTATTTGGGACAAGACGCAGCACACACACCGGCAAGGAATTTGTACTTATTTAACTTTAGGACGTTTTCAGACGCACGAGAAATTCCCGGCTTTTTACGTGTACCTCAAACGCTAAGCAGCGTCTGCGCCTGCACGAAACGCTCATGGTGTGCCCCCACCACTTTCCGCAGTATTAAAATACGTTCGCCAAATCCCACTGCTTGGCGTAGGGCTACATGTGCATAAGTTGAGCCCTCGTAGCTTTTCTTTCAATGCCAAGAAAAGTTGTCGCCGAGTGCAGCTTGACCTAGGTGCTTGTTAAGTTTCTCACGAGTTTTTCTTTTGTCCTTCATTTTTGTCCAGGCCTCGTGCCATCTGCAGTGATCATCTTAACAAAAGCAAAGTGATTTAGCTGGTGTTCAGCTGAGACGACTACCGGGCAAGCAGCTTTGGAAGCCGTGTGTGCGTGTGTGTGTTCGTGCTGGCAAAGTGTGCTGGCATACAGAGACTTGTATATTAATACCGACTGTGCTGTGCACAATAAACTTTCAGTGTCCGTCCTGCTTTGGGAAGCAGGGGGGGCATGTTTTCTTATATATTTCTGGCCTGTGTGTCTCTTTCTTTATTTGGCACTGTGTGAACTCTGAGAATAGTTCCTTCTATAGGGACGTAAGGAGCTGTGCTATGTTCACACAGTGCTTATGGATTGAAACAAGAAAATTTAGGGCTAAGTGGTGCACATAATCTCATTTTAGCATCTACAGTTCATGTCAAGTGGGCATTATATATGCTCAGACATTTACAGTGAATCTGATTGATTGATTGATATGTGGGGTTTAACGTCCCAAAACCACCATATGATTATGAGAGACGCCGTCGTGGAGGGCTCCGGAAATTTCGACCACCTGGGGTTCTTTAACGTGCACCCAAATCTGAGCACACGGGCCTACAACATTTTTTAACATTACTTTTCCTGACCGGGATTGCTGCCGAATGACAGTCATTACGAGCAGTTGCTAATAGCAATTGTCATACTACCGTATTTACTCCATTCTACCGCACCCTCGATTGTAGCGCGCCCGATTTCCACGACAAAAAAAAAGTAAGACATCGATTGCAATGCGCACCCAATTTTCTCGCAGGCCCGCACGATCACACCACTCAAAAAAACGACTCCTTCCGAGAGCGTTTGCCATTTATATGAGGTACGGGAGAAGCTTGTGCCCATCTGATGTGTAACAGAGCATTGCCGTCACTGTAGTTTTACCGTGGACCAATGTCAGCAAGCGAACTTGCTTCGCCCCCTTCTTCTCAATGGTTGTGGTGCCAGGCAAGTCGAAGTAAAGAGGCGTCTGATCGGCATTCCTGATTTGCCCAAGCAGGTAGCCATTGTGCCGCAAGTTTAGGACGAACTTCTGAAAACTGCGAAGCTTTTCATCGTACACCTCCGCAAAACTTTTCGCATACGTCCGTTCCCCTGTGGAGGTAAAAGCCTTTCCTCTTCATAAAGTTAGTTAGCCAGCACCTGCTCGCTTTAAACTGGCTCTGCATTAGACCTTTTTCTAAGGCTAATTGCATAGCCCGCACTTGGAGCAGTTCTGTCATCACGGGCCGCTGTGCCGCTCGCTGCTCAAGCACATACTCGCCGAGCAGCTCTTCAATTTGCGGAAACCGACCCTGGTGTGGTCCACTGAAGCCTTTGCGTGAAGCTGTGCTATAGACAATATTCTGCTTTTGTTTCCGCCAGTCCCGCACGCACGTTTTGGGAACTCCGAACGAGCGCGCAGAGTCTAATCCTAAACCACGGCGTAAGATATATACGTTAGGCGAGGACACTTGCGATATGCAATCGACCAGATAAAGTAAATATGCCCCGTGCATCGGTTCGCTGACCGCAGCAGATACCTACCCGTTGGGACGATGGAACTTCAAGACAAAAATGCGTTGGCGTGGCCACCAAAGCTCCGTGGGAGGTATGAATTTCCTAGTCAGTGAACATGGTTTTTTCAATGTTAGGAGCTAAAGCTTGAAGCGTATGCCGCGTTTTCCGTACGAGAACGAGCTCTCTATGTGCTGCCTGCGAATGCTGGTGTTGCCAGCCACCACGTTGGTTTTTCAGGAAAACATTTTTTTGGATTGAGCTTGCGTTGTCCCAGTTTTAAATATCCGGTGCCGTTGCCGGGCCAATGGGCGCATGACGTTGTTACGCTGGTCAACACACCTTGAAAGCGAGCCGAGAAGTTGTGCCCTAAACACAACCCAATCGTGAAAAAAAAAAAAACGTTGCGGTTCGAAAATTTTGGCCTTATTCTATCTGGCTCGTGCAGAATGATGTTTAAGCTACCTTCGTTGTGGTATACTATAGGCCCGCGAAAAAGCGCACTATGATTTGGAAGGGGCTCTTAGCGCTGTATAGTCACGGGACCCTACACATTTTGTTGAATTACTCGTGCTGAGTCGTACATGTATGCGCCGCATAATTGTGAGTACTAGTATGATCACTGACGTCTGAAAAGGTTACCGGCAATCATTTTGAGCATTGAATGACATTTCTGCTGCCCTTAAAAATAAACAAAACATTAATTGTGGGTTAGTAATTTTTTTTTTTGCCACCCCTACACCTCGGTTTTACGATTCTCCTGAATTTCAAGCTCGACAGCTTGGCACAGCCACATTATCATTTGCAGTGTAAGTCACTGCCAGGTTAGTTTGAATACGATGATGCAGGGGCTGAGTATTTTTATAACTTCAAGTACCTGTACTTTCTGTGCTGTTGCACAGAAACGCCCTTTGAAAAATTTTCAGCATGCAGTGCTTGTATCTGCCACGCAAGAACAGCCTGCATGATAAACATGTGCTTGTAACATTTTACTGCATGCAAACCGTACAATATGCGGCAATTTTACGTCGAAAAGCTACAAATGTGTGCAGAAGTGAACCAGCAGAGACAGGACGCCGTGGAGCCTCTGCTGTTTTATTAGATGCGAAGCAGCTTTTTGATTCACGTGTGTAACGCTGGACTAACATGCCGCAACGCATTCCCCTCGCCGCAGGTGTTGGGGCGGTGTCAAGTAGGTCACGCTGCAGCTGCGCGTTGACGTCACGCTCCCCTGGCACGTTTCCCTCGCATGTGCGCGCTCTCTCCCACAGCACGTTCGCAGCAGCTCCCGGATCCTCCGCCCGCTCGCAACACACTTCTTCTCACTCGTTTTACCCTTTCCATTGGCCGCAGCGCTCGACCGCACGTCTAGTAGAAACACTCTTTCGGCTCGTTTATCTGCGATGAAACTTACACGAAACCCAACCCGCCCCCCATGTATTTGCGTTTCTAACAAACGTTTACTCGAGTAAACACTGCACCGAGTTTCGCTTCAAACTGTTCTTCCAGCACCCGCATAGACGCCAGTTTTAACCGGGACAACGCCTCCTCATCCCATTAGGGTTCCCGTCGGGGAGATGGTCCATCATTTTTTGTTCCATCATATATTTAAAGGGTCCGTGCAACACTTTTTCAGCATAGTCAGAAAACGCAGCGGATTGGTAGTCGAGGCTTCCGAGAGCGCGCGAGGCCTCGAGATGTTGGAGTGGCGCCCTCTCGCGCGTCACGTCAGCTCGGGGACTCCGCTCTCAACGGCGCTGCAGCAGCCGCTGCTCCTATGTGCTGATCGTCTGCTTCTGGCGGGAACATTGTTGAACGAACACCCTCGCAAGGGTCAACCAACGCCCGCAACAAATGTTTTCGAGTTCATTTGTGAATATTCTTTAGTTGCGGCCCAATCAACAGGGCCAAGAAACCTTTCAGGTGGCCGCTGAACGCGCTGGTGTCGCCGACTGCATTGCTGGTAACAAAGTGAAACTATGAGCATGTGTGAGTGTTCTCGCTCGTCATCTGCAGTTTCCACCGTGCGATACTAATTAGTTCGGGTGTTTCTTTGGAAATTTCAATAAGCGTTCCTTTCTTCAGCATCTACAAGCATGTATACACACAGCTTTAGAAAGGCCGCGATATAGGCCACGTTGTTGAACACGTGGACTTGTAAACGTGCCACCCAATGTCCCCGTGGCTGTCGAGTGCTGCGCAGTGGTGAAGTACTGCTCTGTGCCTCAGTATGCTTCGTCCGCTCACGAAAAGGACGTTATCTTTCACGACAATTTTAAAGGCCACGCGTGTCCTTTAGGATATCTTTTCTGCAGTGCAACGATAGGGACAGTGAACACGAGGATATATGCGTGAGAGTCGCCGATTTCTGGCATTCGCAAGCAAGACATGAGATAATTAGTGCAGAGAGTTGTTTAGATTGCCGCTTCGGCAGTCAATCGACAGTTCATGGAATGTACTAGAAATTAAAAACAGCATCCAATTGCCAAATTTGCGATAATCGTGCTCGGATTACAGCTATGGGCGTCGGCACGGCGCAAGCCCGTGTTGTAGTCGCAGTAAGACCGGGAGTCTTGCTGGTGTGACTCGGGGAGGGGGAAAGTTCCGCCTCCACCCCGTGACCAATGCAAGTGAGCGCACTTTGTCTCAGTAATCTTTGTTTACTGAAAGCGACATCACTAAGTAGGTCATGTTAACACCGCACAGGACCGTCGCTTGGGTATCAGCATATAATAGTTATCGCTGATTATATATACCGCGCACACGGTTACAAAAACCAACGTGGCAAAGGCAAGCGAAGTGAGTTTGCGTTCGTGCACGTGTCAAAACGAAAAGCTTAAGGAGCTCCGTTTAAAGTGTTTGCACTGCCTTGTGTGACGACCTTAAGTGAGTGTGCACTCAACTGCGACAGCGGGTTTCGCTTATGAGCTTACGATAAGCAGTGCGCTGGGCACGCGATTGTCTTGATCAGTAAACTATATATACATGTACGTACAGCAGCCAAGTAATGACTTAAGTTTCAGATGTCCTGCGACGCTTAGCTGCGCTCACCCGAGGCCATTCGGAGGCCGCGTCGTCGGCTCACGCGTGTCTAGAGGCTTTCGTGGTAGGTTCTGGGACGGCACCTCACCTGTTGTAAGTCGCCTACGCTTGTAGCCTGTGTGCAATCAATGGCTGAAGTACTGGCGAGGCGCTGAAACACGGTTGCTAGCTTACCAAAGAGTGGCGCGTATAGGGCGGATATAGCAAAAGTACTGCCAGTGAAGTGCTTGCTGCACCTGGTCGATGAAGGAGTGGGACACTTTCCCTTCCTCAGTTTGACGAACCGCTTCTTCCTCAGCTTCGGGTTTTTATCATAGTTGTGAAAGCCAGCGACGTTTTCACGGGTGGGTGATCATATAGAGACACAGCAGTTCTTCACCATAGCACAGCACTCGCCGCGGAGAGAAGCGGCCGCAGTTTTAAGAAACAATTAGCGCTGTGCCTTTAAAATGCGCGTTAAAAGCGGACACCCGCGGTTTTTAGAACAGTGTCGGTAGCCACCACCAACGCCTCCTAAAAATATTATGCCTGGAACGTGAGCCGCTAACGCGCTGTCCTACGCTCTGATTTTACCCTCCTCTTTCGGTACGAACCCTATTGGAAAAATTGCCATGGTGGATACTGGAAAACATGGTGGGCGTAGTGTAAATAATAGTGGGCATGGTGGAAATAATAGT